ATTCGCTTTATTTAGACCACCGGGGTTGGATGGTATATTTCTAGCACTCTTGCGTTGGGGAATGAATCTGCTCGCAGGTAGGCTCACGGAAATATTTAGGGCGTTACTGGCAACAAAGTACGTCCCCACAGGGAGCTGCCCACAGGGAGGTGTGCTTTCACCATTTCTGTGGAGCGCGACCATAGACTCTCTACTTCAACAGCTACACTTTAAATGCATATACACAATACATTATGCAGACGACGTAGCACTGATGGTGGACGGGAAGTTCCCAGATACCATTAGAAACGTAATGAGAATTGGTTTCCAATGCGTCGAGCAATAGTGTAGGAAACAAGGCCTGACTATCAATGAGGTGAAATCAAATACTATTCTCTTCACGAGAAAGAGAAGTCTATCAATGGAGCTCTTACAACTTTTGGAAAATTACATCCGCATTTCAAAGTCGGAGAAGTATATAAGAGTTATTCTATATAACTAATTGACTTGGAATGAATATGTGATTGAAAAGATCGGAAAAGCAAATAGAACTCTATTTCAGTGTAAGAGAGTGTGCAAAAGACGATAGGGGCTAACCTAGAAAGCAACGTAGTGAATCTACACGATCATAGTCAGACTTATTATAATATATGCGTCAGTTGTCTGGTGATGTAAATCCACCCAAAACAATATTAACACCGGCGTTAGAGGTGATGTTAGGTCTGCTACCATTAGATTTATATAAAAAGAAAAAGGTGGCACTAGCGGCAACTCGCATGAACTGGAGTTCCACGTGGAATCACTTCGGAAATATGGTGAGCCATCGGAAAATTCTTAACATCGTCCAGATTCCGGTCAAGGAAACGTAGATGCCATTGATGATGATTATGAGGAAAGTTTATGTGACAGAAGTGTCCTATAGAACACTTATAGTGGACGGCCTTCTACATGATGAATATGAAACGAATGAAACGTCTTTACCAATGACTCCTTGATGAATGACAGAGCTGGGGCTGGAGTTTACTCCTAAGAGCTAAAGCTAGAGTGCACTTCACATCTAGGAAAATATGTTTCCGTCTACCAGGCGAAACTTATGGTGGTCACACATGCTCTGGATAATCTAATCCCAGGTGTTTTAGAAAAAAATAGCACTAGACAACCAAACAGTTATTAAAAGCATGCAAAAGACGTGCGTAGTCAACAGCTTAGTACAAGAATGTATCACGAAGGTCATGGAATGTGCTCATGCAAATGAGGTGACAGTCATATGGGTTAAAAGGTATATCGGTATTGAGCAAAACGAAAAGGTGATGGACCTTTAAATATCATGTAATAACTTTTGCGGCCCAGAGCCCAGAATACCATTGACATACAACATGACTTCAGCCTATATCGATAAGTGGATAATATGTGGTGAAAGATGAGCACTTGTAAACAGGCTAAACTCAAGATGCCAAAACCAATGGTCTATGAAGCAATAATAATAATAATAAAAGAGTATACGTGAAAATTGCCCAACAGCCGGTACTGCGGCCAGAAGAGACCTATTGTACCAGTTTCACTATTGATTAAACAAAGCTTAAAGCTTTGTGAATAAAGTCTAGAACTAAATCTAGAGAAGAGTTCTTAATCTGTTCTGGTGACAGAAATTCTTTATGAAACAGGTTTCTTCTGTGCGTTTCTTAAAGCTGGACAGTCACAAAGAATATGCATGGTTGTTTCCTCATCTTCGAGGCATAATCTGCATTCCGAGTTAGCAGATAATTGTAGTTTATGAAGGTGATATTTCAGACCATAATGACCTGTAATGAAGCAATAAAAGTGCTTAGTTATCCGCGGAGAGCCCTACGTTAGCTGACTTTATTGATAACTGGACATGGGAACTTCAAGCAGATACTTGTAGACTCTGTCTAGAAGAAAATGAGACATATATTGCAGGTATAGTGCCAATGTTCACCACAGGCAAGCAGGAGGATGACTTGGCAGCCAACCTCAATCTAAATCTTCATGGATAACGATGAGACTGCTGGGTTCATTTAGTCCAATACCTGTTTGTTCTGCACTTGTTGACTTAGTATGCATTCCTTGGACCAAATCTGACAAAATCTGCATCTGAGCACGTATCAGCCGCTAACTTTGCGACTAATTCAGTTGGTTGTCTTGCACAGCAAGCTATTATTCTTGTGGCAGCATATAAAGAGATTCCTCTATTATCAAGTGTGCTGACGTTAGCCCTTGACTTTTGTTTGGATCTCAGCTGATAGGTGCAATTGGGTCAGCAAAATTTATGTTTATGTCTTGGTTGAAATATAGCAAAACTCTGGCTACTTATCGGATATTCATCCGATTTGCTTTTTACAGTAACTAACGCAGTAGTTTTAATTACCAGGCAACAATTAACAAATGCGCAATCAGATTCAGAACTTGCATTTGCATTTACGATGATAAAAGTGTATTTGTAGAGCAGTTCATGAAATCTCATACACACTCTACAATACGAGAAGAGGAGTGGAAAAGGAATGCCTCTCGTTAGAATTAATTTAAACATTGTTATTCAGTTGCACTTTATTACCGAGAGGTTCTTTGACTTTTAAAAACAATATTCATTCATTTCCAAAAGATGATAGCAACTGCTGATATAAAAAAAATTGCAGTTACAAGCAATAGTTGTTAATGTTGATAACAACCGAATTTATAACCAATTTTGACATGCAGCTGAACAATAATGTCTTAGTAATAAAGTTTGTTGTAAATGTATCCGGTATAAAAAATTAGTATGGCAGCGAGCTATAGCAGCGGCCAAACGAATTCGATAGCAATATAATTGCAAATTAGTTTGAGGCACCAGTACCATTCACTTTGACAAAGCAAAACATGGTCCGTTGTGGTTAATACGTGGACAACGAAAATCGCTGTTCAGGCATCATTACAAACTCTTAATGTTTTTTTAAAAATTATTGTTATTTTTTAATAATATAAACAAAAATTATTTAATTTAAAATTTCAATTATTTTCACTATCACCCTTTGCACTCGCCTTTGCTTCCTGAAAGTCAAGAAAAAGTGATTTTGCGAAACTAAATAAATTAAAGGTTTAGTTAAAAAAGCAAAGTCAAGGGTTGTCATGTGATTCTTATAATTTTATGTATTTCATACGTTGCATATGGTTATATTAAATTCAACAAAAACTAAAAGAAGAAAAGAAACTAAAAAGAAACTTAAAACAAATTTAAATATAGTTTTTCAGTTAAAATATGAAATTAACGTTTTTTTTCATCAGTTCCTCTCACCACACTATAACGTTCTCGCATGGTGAGTTTTTCATGATACATAAACGACAAACTCAAAATAAGTGACAAAAGGCAAGTGAGAACATTCTCACAAGAAATCGTTCGTGTTCAACAGTGTGTAAGTGACTTTATTTTGTTTCAGCCCTTCCTTGTTCGTTGTGCTTGACATTTTTATGATACATTATCTCTAGTATCATTCCTAAAAAAAGGACATAAAAATTTATATCATTTTTCTGCATTTTGTATAAACATATGCAAATATGTCCTTAAATGACTTACAGCCCATTATACGGCGTTTACATTGGCCGAAAATGGCTCATTTTGGTCAAAAATCGAAAATGAGTATCGAATGCCTCATTCTTGCATATAAAATTTCAAGCACAAAAATGAGCAATTTTCTCACATTCTGTATGAATGACGTTCGAATGCATTCCACATACGTTCCAAATGCAAAGGAATCCATTGAACATACCCTAAATAAAAGCTCTTCATGGCATTTTGACAGTTTGAAAAAGCTGTTTTTAACATATTTACAAAAAAAGGTAAACAAATGTTTGGTGGTTGCATTTTCTTGAAAACGATGCACTGCTTTTTAGAACTTTTACTTCCCAAAAAGTAATTAATCGAAGTTAAAAATATGTTTTAAGTTTCTTATGTAAGGTTTGAAGGCATATTTAACCTTCATGCAACATTTTTTTGGCACAGGCCAAAAATCAAATCAACATGCAAGTTGAAAAATTAGATGTTGAAATGAGAACAAATGAAATAGAACGAATGTAAACACTTTCAAATGGCTCATTCAAAATGAGCCATTTTCGGCCAATGTAAACGCCGTATTACTCATATAATATTTAATATAATAAAAACATTTTTTTTTTAATCTTCCCTTTATTTATACAACTGCCAAGATTTGGCAACTGGTATATATTTTTACATAGTGGAAATTAAAAGAATAATTCAAATCAATATTGAGAATTACATGTATAAACTATATAATAAAAACATAAATAATAATAATAATTCATACACAAATAATAATTTAAATTTATAGTAGGGGTATTCAGGCAACTAGGGTATTCAAGCGAAACATACGTTAACAGTGAAAATTGTTTACACACAATTCAAACAGCTGAGAGAGATAGCTAACAAATTTCTATACAAAAGTTCATTTTAAGTTATTATTACGACACTTGGGACTATTAATCAAATTTGTACTAATCTGAGAATCACCGAAATAGTTGATTCCCTGCTTAGTTTCATTTTTGTGTGCAAATTTTTGTTATAATCAACTACTAAGCAACTAATCAGTTACCTGAATACCCCTAGTAATTTTCATAAAGCAGTTAACCACCACATTTTACAGCTGTTTTCTTTGAGTTGTCAAAAAATCAAAATGAAACATAATATTTGCTCCTCATTGATAGATTTCGTGGTGAAATATATAAATGACAGTTCATGATGGTGTGGTGTGCTTGTTGGCGGATCCAACAAATCGGTTCTTAGTCGCACAATGTACCACACTTGGCTTTGTAATTGTTAAATTTTATGCGATTGTTTGGTTGATTGTTTGTGTTTACATTTAAGTTTTCATCCTTGTAAAATTATTCTTTGGTTTTAAATACCAATTGTGATAATTATATATATTTATTATTTTTTTGTGTACGCACAAATAACAAATTATAATAAAGATTATAAGTATTTATGTGAATACAGATATAGATATATATGTATATACATAAGAATAAAGATGTTCAACAGAAAGGAAGCTATGCATATTGGCTACAAAAACAAACTATTTTTTATCTATATAATGTAGTTGTAGTTGTACTTGCGTTTTACCGACATGTTTTTTTTGAGGTTTGGGCTAACATTTACAAAAATACCATATGATGTTGTTAATAAAAGTAAGCTGACGTTTGTGACACGGTGCTTTCGTGGTACATATGGACCATTGTTAGCCGGCCACTCGAAATGGGCAAACATAAAGCACACGAAAGCGCAGAAGGATGGGCAGAAGAGCACAACATTCACAAAGTTTTCACGACAAATACGAATTGCTATACAAGAAGGTTCGTCTTCAGATCCTGCAATGAATTCACAGTTGCGTAGGGTTATCCAGGAAGCACTGCGAAACAATATGCCCATGTCAAGCATACAAACCACTATCGCCAAAAGTGCGCAGAAGAACATTTCACTGAAAAAATACTTACTGGAAATTCAATATAAAAAAAAAGTGTTCATGGTTTGTGTGCTTAATACGGATAATTTCGCCGGCAATAAAATGGAGATTAGTACAATTTTAAATAAACATGGGTAAACTACATACTAATAATTATATTTTTAACTTATAGCTGTATAAGTGCCTCAATTAATAAGTTTATGTAATGGATTTTTACGTAGATATTTCACACCAGAATGACTTAACCCCAAACTGTATTCTTCAAAACCAACTGTTGGTATCAATTGCAACACGAGTGTCACAAGTGTGTTTTGTCAGCAATTTAAGACAAAATAAACAAATTGATATTTTTTTGCTTAATAGCAAAAAAAACAAACAATTTACTATAATAATTTAATGTGCAAAATCAGAAATGCAGAAGTTAAGCTGTGGGTTTTGTAGTGGATATGCGATACATGCACGAAGTTCGAATATTAATGGAAACAGACGTGGTATTAAAAATCCCTGGAAATTAACGTTTTAATTTACCATTCAATGTGTCTCGTTTTTTGTTTGTCCAGTAAATAACGAATATTATATTAGCGCACAATGCAAATTGTAGTGAAAAAATCATAAAAGGCAAATTTCTACTACAGAAGTTCACACATTTCCGAAATTTCGTCGTATTTTGATTTGTCAAGCATAGTACAGGTACATTAGGTGCTGTAAATCTAATCTAATGCTTAGGATTAGGTTAGGTTGAGAAGGCGCGTTCTGACAGTTATCAGCAGTTCCACTCGTGGAGATATATTGCTCATTGTGATGTCCTCAAAGATTTTGCCGGAAGAGGCGGCTTGCTAACCTTTGTTATCTTCGTGTATTATGCTTGTTAAACCGTTTGGTTTGCCAGATGAAGTTAAGGAGATCTGATAAGTTTACTTTCGTTATCTTTGCCAGGCCAGTGAAAAAGTGTTCCCCAATATATTGAAGTCGCCTTGTCTGCAGTCCTGACAGACACACGAGAAAGTGGTTGATAGATTCTACCTCCTCTTCATCTTGGCAACTCCTGCATAATCCACTTGTAGAAGCTCGCCATCGTTGGAGTATATGCACAGTGTCCTGTTAGTACTCCAGTAAGTAAGAGTAAGAATTACAAGTTTGCTAAAGCCAAAAAGGCTTTTCGTTTTATTTTTGTCTAATTATAAGATTCTAACGACCTCACAGTCTTCGCAATTAGTCCATAAATTATTAGTCACCACATTGGTGAACTCCTCTATAATACTAAACAGTTTGCATATTGGTGTTAGTACTGAGAAATCGGCCTCCCTTATATGCAGTTCAGAACCTCTTCTGATCATGTCATCCGCTAGTTCATTCCCTTCGATATTGCTACTTGCAGGAACTCAGCAAAGAGAGACCTTGTCATGTGTGATGTTCATAGGTGAGGCGTAACATTTTAATACAATTTTTGATTTAACCGTTTTGGATTTAATTGCTTTCAATGCTGACTTACTATCTACAAAAATACTGATATTTGAAAGACTAATCTAATATTAAGTTATATACATTATAAAGTATTATTTTTATACAAGTTATATAATTGCTGTCATAGCCTAGCAGATTTTAATGGTGTTGAAAGAGTCAGTTTGGTCCTATTTTTCTTACGAGCTGGGAAACTTCGACTGCAGTTATAAGTGTCACTTTATCGTCGATAACAAGAAAAATTGAATAAGTCATCTTTATCTGAATATAAGTTATTTGCTGCCCGTTGGATTATTTCGTAAAAGTTTAATCTTAATTATTTTTTCGCTATTTTTCAACCTTATCTAATTATATATTTACATAAATATTTTGTACATCGTTATTATTTTTATAAATACTTATATTTTGGTTTTTATATAATTAGTGCCGTGTTCGCTGATATTGGAAACTTGTTTGATGATTTTGGACTTATTGAAACAACTGTAGATCTATCAAACCCGTCTTTAAAAACTGGATTAGAAGACCTTTTAATTGAGGATGCAATTAGCTGCGGAGCAGACGATTATGAAATCGTTGATGACAAAAGTGGATTTGTGCGGGTTTGTGATATTCTTAAATTCTTTGCTTAAATATATAATTAGTTTCAGTTTTTATTTTTTTAGTTTTTCTGTGATCCCGACAAGTTGAGATCGGTTACTAATGCAATCGAGGCTAAAGGCTATTCTGTAGAGAATACGGAGCACAAACATATAGCACAGGTAAATAGTGAAAACTTGTTTTTTTTTCAAAAAAAAAAAATAATAAATGCTAAATTTTTCAGAAAATGATTTTACTGACACCGGATGAAGAAACTTTGTATAAAAAGTTTAAACAAAAATTAGAAAATATTAATGATATTGAAATTATATATGACAATATAGAAAATGAATAAATTATTTAATAACAATTAATAAAATTATTTGATAACAATTAATAAAATTATTTTTGAATATAAAAGCAATATAGTGTACCTAAATTATAATAATAATATGCAAAAAAGCGCACAGATATTGTTTATGACTTAAAATAAGTACCGAAGCCATTCAACTCGCTAATCCAATAGAAGTTTTATCGTTGCAAGGGAAAGGGACTAAGACGTTTACCAGAAATGGGCAGGTTACTAATGCAATTGGATCATATGGCGTAGTTGAATGACGGAGTCCTTGGAAATTAGAAAGCAGAATTAAGGCATAAATAAATAAAAAAAATTACCTTTTAACTCGACTATAGAGTGTCAAAGTAAATTCAAAAAGAAAACAGTAAAATCACAAAATATCACTAAAATAATTCATCGAAATTGGTAAGGTCTATATACCAGTCTTTAGTTTTGTGATAGACGACGATGGACGATATTATTTAAACTGAAAGCGACTTACTAGTACAATCTCTGTTAAGAGGCGTAAACGGGGTTTGACCGTCTGAGTAGACGAGTGAATGCGTGACGTACATGGCTGCCCCGGAAATTTTTAAGTGGTGCTTTAAAATAAATTATTTTGAAAGTTTTTTTGATAATTCCTTTGCTTATCTTGTGAATTTTTAATAGGGTTTACCAGTTTGGAATATAGGTTGAAGTTAAACTATATACACAGTTCTGGATTAGCATTATTTTTTCTATTGTAAATAGACAATTGTATTGCATACTCAGAAATAGATTATTGAAAAATAGACGTAATAAGATATAACTTATTTTTTAAATATATAAGATTTTTAAACTAAGAGATAAGTTTCAGGTGATCAACAAAATAAAGGCACGTAGTACTACAAATTTGCGATAGTAAATCACTGAACGAACTAGTTGGAGGAGCTAAGTGGTCCCGACCAAGGACAACTTACGTCTGTATTGACCAGCTAAAGAAGAAAAAATTAATAGTGCTTCAAAGTATTCTAGAAGTTCGCGTACCCAAACCTGAAAATTTGTATAAAATGTTTGAAAATATTCGAGCTACCCGAATATCTTTGAATTCAACCCGCGTGGTGTTCGAATGGTGGAATACAAGTATGCTCAAATCATATTTGAAGATCTAGTTTCAACGGATATAAATTTTATTTATTAATATTTATAAGTTAATTATCCTTGTCTAGTTAAAATTATACAAACAGTCAATGTTTTTTAGAGAAATTTTTTCATTTATTTAATTCAATACAAAATAAACTCCATTAAAATAACAGTAGAAGTAATATTAAATATAAAATATGAAATTAAATATGGAACATGAAAGTAAACATACAATTAATAATATAATATGAAATATGTATAAGTGGTAATAAATATAAAATACGTGTAATTGATACTATAAGAAAGTATTTTTAAATAAGTATAAAAATATAATTAAGACCCACATGATAGACGTTCATCCTTGTTCTCGAGTGAGCATGCTATTATTTCTTATAGTAATTGACACTATAAAAGTGTATTTTGAAATAAGTATAAAAATATAATTAAGATCCACATGATAGACACTCATCCTTGTTTTCGAGTGAGCATACCATATCAGCCATTCTTTTATTTCTGTCGGAAATAGCATCGCCGTTTCTATTTGCTATTGGATTTTCTACGCCATTGGCATCACCATTAGCTTTATCCACAGTAAACTGAATAGCATTAGCTGCTGGTTTTGTTCTTAGATAATACATTCCAGTTTTTAATCCAGCTTTCCATGCGTGAAAATGTATTGAAGTCAATTTTCCATAATTTGGCTCCGCCACATGAATATTAAATGATTGACTCTGATCAATAAAAGCTCCTCTATCAGCAGCCATTCTAATAGTAGACTTAACAGAGATTTCCCACACATTTTTATATAAATCACGTAAATACTTTGGTATTCCTTCAATATTTTGAATTGAACCCCTATTCAAAATGATTAAATTTTTCATCTCATCGCTCCACAGTTCTAGTTCAGTAAGATCTCTTAACAAATGATGATTAACAACTTGAAATTCCCCAGATAACACCCTTCTTGTATATATATTGGATGTATATGGTTCAAAAGATTCATTATTTCCTAATATTTGAGCTGTTGATGCTGTAGGCATTGGAGCAATAAGAAGAGAATTTCTAACACCATATTGTGCAATTTTTCCTTTTAATTCTGCCCAATCCCAGAGGTCAGTAGGAGTTTTGTTCCACATATCATATTGAAGAATACCTTTACTCACAGGGCTTCCTTCGTAAGTTTCGTAAGGCCCAAATTCTTTAGCCAATTCACAACTAGCTTCCAAAGCACCATAATAAATTGTTTCAAATATTTGTTGATTCAATAAAAATGCTTCTTCACTTTCATAAGGATAACGCAGTACAATTAGAGCATCTGCAAATCCCTGCACACCAATACCGATAGGTCTATGCCTTAAGTTTGACTTTTTTGCTTCGGGCAACGGGTAATAGTTTACGTCAATTATTTTATTTAAATTTCTAGTTACGACTTTGCTTATATATTTAAGCTTCTGAAAGTCATAAGTTTTATCACTAGTCACAAACATATTTAGTGCTATAGAAGCCAAGTTGCAAACTGCAATTTCATCTGGCGCAGAGTACTCAACGATTTCTGTGCATAAATTACTGCACTTGATTGTTCCTAAATTTTGTTGATTACTTTTGCGATTGCATGAATCCTTATATAGCATATAAGGAGTTCCAGTTTCAACTTGTGCTTCAATTATAGCAAACCAAAGAGCTTGTGCTTTAACTACTCTATTTGCTCTACCTTCCTTTTCATATTTTGTATATAAATCTTCAAATTCTTCACCCCAAACCTCATGCAAGCCAGGACATTTGTTTGGGCACATAAGTGACCAATTTTCATTAGCTTCAACACGTTTCATAAATAAATCAGGAATCCAAAGTGCATAAAATAAATCTCGAGCGCGGTTTTCTTCCTTACCGGTATTCTTCTTAAGATCTATAAATTCAAATATATCAGAATGCCAAGGTTCAAGATAAATTGCAAAAGCTCCAGGTCTTTTACCACCACCTTGGTCAACATATCTTGCCACATTATTAAATACCCTTAACATTGGCACTAATCCATTTGAAACACCATTTGTTCCTGATATAAACGTGCCTTTAGCTCTAATGCAATGAACATTTAATCCAATGCCACCGGCTGATTTTGATATCATAGCACATTGTTCAACTGACTTGAAAATTCCTTCAATTGAGTCAGCAACCATAGTAAGCAGGAAACACGATGAAAGTTGTGGCCTTCTAGTGGCAGCGGAGAACAGAGTTGGCGAGGCATGCGTAAAGTACCGTTCAGAGAGAAGATTATAAGTTTCAATTGCTCCTTCTATATCATTCCCATGTATACCAATTGAGCATCTCATCAACAGGTGCTGGGGTCTTTCCACAACTTTCCCATTTATCTTGAGAAGATACGATCGTTCTAACGTTTTAAATCCAAAGTAATTATAACCGAAGTCACGGTCATAAATAATAGCCGAATTTAAACGATCCGCATTTGATTTAATAATTTCATAATAAAAATCAGATATGATTGGTAGCTTTTCTCCAGTTTCCTTATTAATATAATTGTGCAGATCAGTTATCACATCTGAAACAAAATATAAATATTAAATTTTTAATAAATATAGATTAAAATATAGATTTAAAATAAATATTTTAATTTCAAATATATTGATAAATAGATTCCATATAATCTTTATTTATTTTGTATATTGCTAAAGAAATGCATACTTGAAATGGGCACGCCCATTTGACGAGTTTCACTAGACAGCTATTTGACTTTATCCACTATGTTACATGTGGAATTTCGTGCAAAAAAGTTAGGAATTTTTATATAAAAACCACTTGATGGCGCGTCCTCTTGTTGGTACCTGTTATTTGTGTAATCAATCCATTTATAGCATATACTAGTTAGCAGTATTAAGTATTTTTAGTTTTAAATAAATATTATTAATGCAAAAAGTGTTCAACTTAAAGCACCGATATCCCTGGAAATAGACTATATTGATATATAGTGCAGTGAAAAAAAGTTGCTTGTTGTTGTTGCTGTCCGCAAGAATCTAAAAAGCAGATAACATGAAGGGAATTACTAGACTAATACATAAGTTATGATGTGAATAGGTATTAGTTGTGCGAGAGGGGAGGGAATTATTTAGGAGTGAGAAAAGATTAAGGATGAATGGGAGAAAAATAAAATTTAATTAAAATAGTTGACTTCACTAAAATAAGTTATCAAATCGTTATGCCCGGCAAATTAGAATCATACCGGCTAATTTGTTCAATTACTTTAGTTACAATAACTTTCGCATCTAAGTTCGTCAAGATGTTGGTTGTTACGATTATTGTAGCCCACGATGTTCTGAAAATCAAACCAATATGGAGATGACAAAACTTTAACAATGGGATAAGATGGCGAGTGAAGTGGTATAAGGTTCCCCTAAGGAAAGTGATAGGTAGGAATGTTGAACCTAACTTAGGTGCAAATGAAGGAATCTTACAACCTTAATGAAGCGAGCATAAATTGTAAGCGTGCAATTTTGGGTGTGTACTTGAACATGAGAACAAATAAGCAAAGCCATAAGTGGAACAACAGCTCTGGTGCGCATTGGAGGCAGACGAATTTATGGCTGACAAGTAACTGGTTACCACATGGATATATCTTGACATCAATTGAGGTAGGTCTGTTCATGTTGTACGAGAAAGTTGTTTTTCATTCCTAGATATTACGAGTGGAAGTGCTGGATTTCTTACGGCTCGTTGACTATTGAAGCATTCTTTTATAACTGCTGTTTCCTAATACCTATTGAATTAAAGCTTAATTTACCTTAAAATTAAAACTTGAAACAATCATTTCAAAGAGAAATAAAATATTCCAGTCCTATAATGGAGTCAATATAGGTATCATAATTAATAACTAGTATATTACTGAATTAGATCATCAGTAGGTAATATTTACCGGAAAATGATTTCTTGGTTTCTTTGTGCAAATTGGATACAGCTATTCGCGCTGCTAATACTGCATAGTCAGCATGATTTGTCGTTAAACTTGCAGCAATTTCTGCAGCTAAATTATCCAACTCTTGCGTAGTAACACCAGAATAAAGGCCGTTTATAACTTTTAGTGTTATTGACACCTAAAAGAGAATGACTAAGTCATTAACAATTCGGACTTATGCTAATTTATGCGATTTTATGAATAGTACATATTATGAAGTAGCAAAACTGCAAATGATTTAAAAATTAAGCATAAAAAATTAAAATATTTAACAAAAAATGTAATTAAAATATTTATTAAATAATGCCAGATAAAACCTTTCATTTACTACACAATAACTACAATCCTATATAAGCTATAAAAACTACGTTGTACTAAGGAAAGGACGGACAGACATATAATTACGAGTTTATTGTTCAGATAATTTTATATTACCGTGTTAAACTAATAGAATCTTTTACCAAATTAATGTGACTAGATTAAAAAGGGGTACAAATTACTTTGATTTTAACAAAAACAAATTTTATTATTAGCAGTTATAGGAAAATATTGCCTAATCCATTAACAATGGTCTCCCAACCTCAAACTTTCAAGAACAGGACAGATAACCGAAATTTTTAATTGCATAAAATTAAAAAGGAATCGTTTAAGTAGTTCATTGTTTCAAGTAGTTCATTGTTTCAAGCAGTTAAAATTGTTTTTTAAAGAGGTTTCTAAAAATAGTTATGTACAACAACAAAAAATTTTTTTTAATATTATTTTAATTAATTGAATTTTTGGCTGACCATACAGTTGTTTCGAGTATTGCTAAATACCCATCATCAGTGGTCTTGGAAATAATTCTTTTATTTAATTATTCGTAGATAATTTTTTGAGACTGCAAGTGCCAGAAATCGAACTCGTGCCCTGTCATATTTGAAGCTAAGAGTCAGCGCTCCTTAACCAACTGAACCAAAGCCGTACTTGACTTTTACGTTCGCACATTTTTCTGGAGTTTTGTTAATTTGCTGGGAAAGTTTTATTAACAAATTTACAATTTAGATATATTACATACAGAGCATTCCATTTTTATAATTAAAATATAACTTTACCAATCAGATATATGGAGCCATATCTGATCTGGATCTGACAGATCTAGATCTATTTCTATCTAGATCTATGCGTGTATAAATATTAATGTATCATTGATATTTTTCCATATTGAAATGTTTGTATATTTAGTTTGCACTGCAGTTAACGACATAGTATTTATGTGTCCATAGGTAGTACTCAGTTTAAATATACAATGACGAACATAATCATTGACACAAGTATATTTTTAATACGGTTTTTACCCCGTTAGTACAGGGATTTTTAATTAACAAACATTTTTTAGATAAAATGATTAATCTGCAATTAAATTCATTTTATTTCATTATCTCTTAAATTTATTTTTTTAAAATTAAAAAACCAAAAAAGTTTTAAATTAGGCTGAATAAAATTATTAGCACACCTAATGCAAAAATTAAAAAAAAATATTTACGGTGATTATTATTATTAATTAATTAATATTAGTTTGTGGTAGTGTGGTATTTGGCCCAATATTTTGCCACACTTCATCGGTGCCACCTTCAGTCCTGCCTTTGTGGTTATAATAGGCTTCTTTGGACGTCTATCCAATTCTACTCACAAACGTTCAATGGGTTTGAGATCTGGAGATTAGGGCGGATGCGGTAATGTATGTTTTGCATGGTGCGCGAGTCATATACGCATATCACAAGCCGTATGTTTCAGATCATTGTCATATTCGAAGTTAAACGTGACCTATAAACTCAAGATTTCGGTACTTTCTTTGACATTTCTCTTGAGGATGGCTATATAATAATTTTTGTCCATAATGCCGTCAATGAATTCCAATTCGCCGAGAAACTCCATATCGAACATAATTAATTATTGACAGCAGAAAATAAAAAACTATTTTTTTGTAGTTTGGTGTTTAGTTTTCACCAAATTGTTTGCTGAACATTAGATCAAAATATATTTCATTGTACCAAAAGTCGATTAGCTTGCTTAATTACTCCTTTGCATAGGTTAAACGCTTCTGGTGGTTGACCTGCAAAATAAACGAGTATCGTCTAACAACACGCCAACTGTAATTGGTTTTCTGCAGTATACTCCTGATCGTTATGCGATGAATATTCTTGCCAAACTTTCGCTTAACTTAGACTGCAATCTAGGTTGAGGATATTTTTGGGTAACATTTCTTATTTTGCTGTGTTTACAGTCGCTCAAAGCTTTAAGTCAATCTGTATGCCTTGCATTTTGTAATGATGTTGTCTCCTTGAAACAATGCTCCAAATGATGTAACGGCCCCTATCCATTATTTCCCCAATATCCGCATAAGATTTGCCTTGACTGTGTAAATATAGAATTATATTCCGCTAAGATTGTGTGATTTCTTTATGATTATTACTCATTTTGTTTTAAATGGATTAAGTTCGTTAATATTATCGGCATTATGACGTTTTTAGCTAGAATCTAAACTATCACGTCATTTATAATATAGAAATGACAGGTCTTTTCCAGGAAAATGTCAGATCGATGAAATTGTGTTAGAATAGTTTATTAGAACCTCTAAGTTTTATGTTGAGGTTTTTTTGAGTTAGTGCAACTGGGCACTTTTACTATTTCTTAGCTGGGAAGTTTCTACAAAGTCCCTCCCTTCTCTGTAACTATTTATTTATTTATGTAATCCTCATAAGCTTCGCTGATTATTCGATGACTGATCTAAGATGTGCATACCGCCCCATATGGCTAGTGATTGCTCTGAGTTTAGATAGTTCTATGTAGAGCAGCCTAATTTGTTCAGCCTAATTTAGTATTTTTTGTGTTTTTTTAATTTTAAGAAATTAAATATAAGAAATAATATAATGAAATAAAATGAATTTAATTGCGAATCAAGCATTCTATCTATAATAATTTTTGTAAGGTAAAAATCGAATCGTGGTATTAAAGAGGTAAAAACAGTGTTAAAGTTTAACATACTTGAGGTGCCAATAATTATGTTCGTCACCGTATATACCTGTATATTTGCAATGTCTAGTCAGCAAATCTACTGACTGTGAATAGGATTTTTATATCATCGTTAGAGTTAATATTTGGCGTTGTTTTTTGTGCAATATTGTCTTATCTAAGTAGACTATTTATTTTAAAATTTATATTGTATTTTAGAAATAATTATTTAAACATTACTTTCAAATTTCACAACATCGTATAATTAACGTAATTATGACTAACCTCTTCATTATTAATTTTCAAAAGACTATACCTTATAACAATTTTGTTTCAAAAATATTTACAATTAAAAAAACCATACTATTTGAGAAAGATTGTTAAATTCAATTAATGGACATAGTTTTTTTTTATAAATTTACAAAACGGCAGCTGCGCCATTCAATATATTTTTTTAATTATGAATATGCCAATTTCAATATATAAAAAAGTTAAAAAGTATTACCGACACTTTATTTTAAAATTAACAAAATTATTATAGCTCAAGCAGTGTAGGTAATAATTGTTAGTGCAATTTCAAATATATATTCTTGTAATATAATGTACCGTACAACCAATAAAGTCATGTAATAAAACAAAGGCAGCATTATTGTAAGAATCAATTTTACGAATCAATTGTAAGAACCATTTACCAATTTTACAATATAATTTATTTAATGTTTACTATGAAACTTATTAAAAAAACATATTAAGCAAACAATTACATTGATGTAATATTAAATATTCCAAAGCCAATTTTACTTACCGGGTCTATATATTCCATATTAAGTCCATAACATAATTTCGTTATTCTTGACGTTATTTTATCAAAATGTACTTCTTCTTTTCGTCCATCTATAGAAATCAATGCCGTATGAACATTTTATAAATTTTGAGTATTCCATACCTCTTTTTAAAACAAATAGTTTAGTAACGACCATTATTAATCAAACTGTGATAAACGTGCACTTGCAAATACGGGAAATAATTGCGCCAAATGTTGTTATAAAGCATTGTTAAAAAAATTGGCGTCGTTTACACTCAACAATATGGAAAATATTTAAAACATTTTTAAGGTGAGTGCACACCAGCTGTATGAAATATGATACCATCAGTGGCGGGCTCGTATGAGATGTCTTAAAAACATTTTTTCAAATATATATTAAAAATATTTTAAATAATCTTTTAAGTTTTTTCAATTTTATTTTAAATTGTGTTTACCTACAAAACTTACAATTATTTTTATAATAAGTATCTTTTTACAAGTGGATTGCCCTTGTAATTGAAGCAATTATTTCTTATAAGAATACTTATAAGAACATTTAAATAATTGAAACATAATAATAAGCGTTTTTGGTGGCTCACAAATGTGGCAAAAAATGCATGCTGGCCTATATTCACTAAGCGGGACATTAGTATCACTGTTACAATCTGTAAAATGTTTCGGCAAATAGCAAATCTTGCATATGTGCACATAATGCAAGCAAATTACATTTTGTATAAAAATAAATAATTAATATAAATTGAAACGAATACGGAATTGAAAAGAAATAATAAAAATGTTGGAAATTACAATACAAAACACTGAAATTTTTTCTTTTTTTCCCAAATTTTAAATTTATGAAATTTTATCGGCCAGTATAGGCTAGCACCTTGTTGTTTTTTTGCCATACATGTGAGCTACCGAAAACGCCTAATAATATTTGAAAACCTCTATAGGCTATTGTTTATCTTTATATTAATCGGTTTGATTTAATGTTTTTTCATATTCTTTTTGTGTATAAAAATAAAAATAAGTCGGATTTATTAGTCAATCACAAAACTTGTGGCAACTGTTGTGATTCCTTTCGCAAATGAAAGTAATGATGAGTAAGAAGCGTTTGGGAAAATGTTTCAAGCGTTAAAAGCGCAATCGGCAGATCTGGTCAAACAATTTAGGCTAGTTTAAACATATTCTGAAGTAAGCGAAGAAGATTATAAATTTCTCACTTCTAAAAACATTTCTCTAACAGTTCACTTTTCTGACTTAGAGTGAACTGCTCTTCAGGTTGAGATTGAATACAATCCTTTTAATCGAACTCATACTCTATATATGAGTATGAGTATGGATTCTTGAAAAAAGCTTAATCATTTTTCATCCGTCCTGCTGCCCTTAAGTCAACAAGTAAATGTAAAACAAGTCAGAGGCTGCATTGAAGCACCGCTTCTGAACACAGTGCGTTATTGACAAAAAACAACAACGTCAATGTACTGACCATTCGTCCTCTTCTGTAGATTAAACTTTTCCCAATTTCTACGCTAAGTTAGCTATTGCGTTAGCTTTTAAATTGCGTGATATTAATGTTGCATTTGGCTTTTCTGAATCGTTTGTCATACAAGTATGAATTGGTTAAAACATGGTTTTTATAAATGCAAACTCAAGTTTTTTGAGATACAATGTTGTCTATGAAGATGGGTAGTAATACCCAGTAACGATTGTGCTACTCCTAACAGTAGCGATTGTGCTGCTGTTAGAAGTGAATTTCATAGCAAACATGTTTGCTAAAATAATAATAACAAATATATGGGTAGATTTAGCTTTTATAGCTGGTTCATTGATAACTCCATTAACTCTGGCCTTAGGTTTATTGTTCATAACCGGGCTTATTGCCTCAAGAAGAGCTGTTTAGCTCAGGTACAACTTATTCGTGCTATTCTACAGAATTTCGACATTATCCTCTGTAACAGGATCCTCTTAGCCAGGTGCAAGCATTTTGATACTAATATTCATGGCATTAAATGTGGAACCTAACAACTTGCATACGTATCAAACAATGCCTTTTAATGAAGCGTTTGATCAGCTTATCAATTACAAAGCTTTCCACAAAATTAGGGCATTGAGTAAAAATATTATAGAGTCACAATGCCATAGAAATTAATTTTTGTTCTAGGTATCTACTACTGGGTACCCAAATCACTCAAAACTCTGCCGACGTCGCTTCAGTCGTTTTTGCTTCATACCAAAGAAGATTTTGCAATATTCTCTGCTTCATAGGTTCAAGAAATTTTTATATTCCTTTTTTGTGTTTTTTTCTCCTTTTGCTCTTTGAGGTGTTGTTATTGCTTCCTTGAATTATAATGTAAGTAGTAAAAAAAATTATTCGCTATTTTATATTCATTCATGCCTACTTGCTTTGTGTTTAAATATAAACATATGGACATTGATATTTTTGTATGTAATTTCGGGGGCAAGAGATATCAAAATTTTATTTGCAGCATTGAAACAATTTTTCATTGTGATGGCATTTGAAGAAAGAGTTATAATTGTTTTCGTAATTAATTGTTATTAAGTATGGATTTTCAATTTTATCGCATTTACATAATATTTATATTAAATCTTAGGAAGTAATACAATCATAAGAACACATACATATGTATATAAAATAATTACCAATAATTCGTAAAACATTTTTTAAAAATAGTATGATTTAGCTTTGCCAAATGTATTACAATAAAATTATATAGAAATCGATTTAAGATTAAACCTTCAGTTTATATGGCAGTTTGAATAGTTAACGCTATTTTACATATATATGCACTTAAAAGATACTGAATAAGTATAAACGGAACATCAGTACAAGGGGTACAAGTGTATCGACTATTAGCTTTTGCAAGCGAATAATTGCCGAGAAATGGAGATTTATTTAAATAACTGCATAATCATTGATAGTTACTAGATCGACATACATGAAAGGTTATCGTTAATTAAATAGAAATGACAATTTTCATGTTACTAGTTGCGTACTAATTTCCAGACCACCTTTGAGGTATAATGCATCGCGCGTTTTTCTTTACATGGTGTCCCCAGGAGGCCTAGTCCATGTTAACGAAGAAATTTTGTTTAAAAAAAATAATATAGAAAAGAGATTTTTTTACTATTTCAAAGTTTTTTTTTATTATTTGTTCTCTATTTCGACTATAATTTATAATCGTTCTCAAGAATTTGAAGAACTTTAGTTTTTTATATTAATATACATTAGTATTTTCGACAAAAAGATTTTTTGCATATAAATGATAAAGAAATATATTATCACACATAAATAATTGGAAAATAGAATGGTAAAAAAGAAGAAAGAAAACAACCTGCAGAAGATTTTCCGAAAATACTCCAAATCCTGCCTAAAATCCTACCACAACAAGGGCCAATGACAAAACGACAACAAACAATGCTCAGGAATAGAGGAATATCACCACCAATAAGAGAACACATTTGTTCTTGCCGTTATTAGATATATATATGATACATTATTTTTTATTGTTTATATGTAGAAATTGCTTTGTTTAAAATATTAATGTATATTAACACAAAAAATTATAAATTGATCAATATCCCGTGAATAACCATAAAAAATAGCAAAAGTTTCTACGTAGTAAATATTAATATTTACATTTTTATACATATTTATTAACACATGTTTATTAATAACTATCTTAAAATTAATTCACTTAAACTATTTTGAACAATAATAAATAAATTATAAATAGATGTTATTAAGCCTGTATAAGGGCAAATTTGTAATATAAGGTCATATAACAATTTATGCCTTAGTCGATTTCACTTTCTCTACCATCCAAAGGAATTGCTTACGAAGTAATATAAGCAGAATAAAGTTCAGCAATTCAATTCGATGAAGTCTGCAGGCCCCAATAAACCAACTCAATAAATTATGGTAAAGTAAACTGAAATTTCTTAGGGTTTTTTTGCAATGCACTTATGTTAAAAGTTTTCAAATTTATTTATTTTTTTATTATACATCTTATAAAATGTTCCCAATGGTAATATCAAATTTACCTAATTTACCATACTCGAAATTTTGGTAAATACCAACATTCGCTGCCATACTGACATAATTTATCATTTTCCTCAATTTACCATCAATTACTTGAACTCGCACATGGTCAATTACATACAATTATCTTATTTTAGCTAATACTAATATAACATACATATAACTATTATTATACCTGATTAAAACAAAAAATTGAAATTGGTTGCATTTGCTTCAAATGTTCCTAATATAAGATCAAAAAATATTCATATTCTTTCAAATAAAAGTACATATGTTTATAAATATACATTTATACTCATACATATATATATGTAGGTCAGTAAACTTCCAAACAAGTAGGGATGATTGTCTTATTTGCATTATGAAGTGATATTAAATGCATGCAATTTTTACGTGCTGCTTGCTGGTGCCAAGCATTAATTGCAAAAACAAATAATTACACCAAAAACTAATTTCACTCTTTTCTTGTACTGCCTGCCTTCGTAAACAAGCAAATCTGTTTTTTGTTTTCAGTTTTGTTCTTCATTCATCAATAGTAAAATTTTTAGAAAGAACAAGCACAAGCGCGGCCGATCTAGCAGCAGCGCAGAAAGAAGAAATATCTTCACTCCGCCCTCCCGTGCCTGTTGCTGAAAATTTTAAAATTGAGTCATTGTGACTCTATAATATTTTTACTCAATGATTAGGGTGAGCTGAAATCCAGACTGGACGAACATTGTTTGCTTTGCTTGTCTCGATAAGAAAAATGTTTTCAGATGTACACCATCTCTGCATTTATTTAAAACCAAATTTTGAATTTTCCAAATAAATTTAGATGAGGTCATTAATATAGAAACAGATATAGAAACAAAATAAAAAAATGAAAGTTTCACTGGAAGAAGGTCAGGAATTGTATAAAGTGCCCTTATCGGTGTAGTTTTTTGGGTCCCGTTATTAAAACTTAAGCCATTTGGGCTCTGTCAGAAGTTTTAAAACTGGTTTGTTTTTTTTTAGAGCGTACCACTGGATAAAAGGAAAACGGTTTAAATTTTCAACCCTGATTCGTGCACACAGATTTGTATTATGTACGTTTTGTTGTTGCATTTGCATTTTGCTTATTTTATTTTCGTAGTCAAAAATAATTGCTTGAAAATAGTCACAGCAATTGAAACCCTGAGTATAAGTTTAATGTATAATTTTGGGCTGTATAATCTTCTTAATAGATTGCCGGCACGAGAAGGATGGTTAAAACTTGGAATTATATACTTGCGAAGAGAAAGCTTTGTTTTACATGGATTTATACCCGATCCTATACATGAGTATTATCGTGATTTATTATGCAGAGTTTGTTGAAGAAAGTCTGAGTAATCGTTTTGATATCTTGAACAACCTGAATTTTCCACAAGGTAGAAAATATCGTTTAAGTTACTGTATCGGTTCCAACTGACCAACTTGATGTGAACTTTACCTTAATCATCAAGAAAATCGATACATGTTGAAATGCCAAGATAAACAAGGCTATAGACGGTTGCAGTAAATAGCATGTTACTGAAGCCATTTAGGAATATGATGCCAGTAAAAGTTCCTTAACATTTCAGGAGTTTGCAATTTAGTTTACAACTGAATAAAGTGCTGTTTCCGCAGATTAATCTGTACGAAATGAGTACTGAAAATAAAATATTCTGCTTTCGCTTTCCTTTTTTATTAAAAACTTCTGGTTGTACCGTTTTTAATGAAAAGCTTAATAGGCCATGGGTCATTGAGGTTTTACAATTGAAAAATTTGAAAAGTACGCGAACACTTTCAAGTTAGAATCAAATAAATCATACGTTTTTATTTCTACTGACAGTTTTGCTTAAATTAAGAAAAAAACGATTTTTTAATTCCATATATGGTTTTTATTAATTTTAATCTTAATCATAACCGTTTTATCATAGTATGTGAAATATGTATTAATTATTTTATATATAACAGTGATATTTATTTTATATCGCAGCATATATGCAATATATTTTGTGTTATACTTTATATTAGAGTATTAGGCACTTACTAATTGCTTAAAAAGTTTGTTAAGATGTGAAGGATGAAGGCATAAGTATATATATATATGTATATAAATTTTAATGCTCTCTTACTATTTTAAGTAATGTCATTGCTTGTGCATTTTTTTTTGTGGACCATTATCACATAAGAAATTATACTCGGCAATACTCGAAACAGCTGTATGTTCAGCCAAAAATTAAATTAATTAAAATAATATAAAAGTTCATTGTTTTAGTTCATTACTTTATGAAATCCTTTTATAAAAAATTATTACTATACCTTATTTAGTGTGTTTGGGTCTATATTAATTACACTTAAATAATCTTTACTTATTTATTTATTTACTTTAAGTATTTTTTTTTTATTTATTATTAATATTATTAATATAATAATTGTCATGTTCATATTTATAACAGTAATCAGCTGTTTATCGACTTTATTAATATTTTACTTGAAGGGAAATTTTTGAAGTAAAATTCAAATCAATTTTGTACAATACAAATTTAAGCGCGGAAATAGAAAAATTAAAAAACAGACCATTCCATTTTATAATATATGCAGCTGACACTGTTCTAATTTCATTACGTTTACAGTGACATTGCTTTGTTAATGAATGTATTGTTTCTTGTTGGAATAACATTAAAAAGTAAATAAATTGTTGAAGACTTATCAAATACTTCGTTAAATAGATTTAATGACAACTTCAGAAAGAGAATTGAACTTTAGAGCTAAAAAGAGTAAGCTATGAATAAATCCGTTCTTACATCATGTTTGCAATAAGGGTATATTTTATTATAGCCTCAGAGAAAATTTCGGAAAATGTTCATATAGTTGCTAATGATCCATCCTTGGCGTTTTTTCGTATACAGGAGCATGTAAGAAAAGTGTTACCGCCACTTTTGGAAAAACGAAGTGAAGTTCTGCGGTTACAGAACAATTTGCAGGGACATTGTTATGATATGGAATATGCTTTAAGGTGATATTTGTACTATATTATAGTAATTTTACTCTACCTTCTGCTTCAGCTGTCTGCTTCTAAGTAATAAACAATTTTTTTGTTTTCATTTTGTAAAACCTAAGAGAAGTGTAATTTTACAGCAATATGTCAAAATTATATTGTAAAAGTTATTTACTATGCAATGTTCGATTTTCCGAAATACCTATTAAACAACGTGGACATAATTTTAGAGTTTCCTTAAACTTATAAGAAATTATGTGTCTCGTGGATATCATTCTATAGGGTATATGTTCAATGTATAAATGTGCAATAATTTTATTAATATCAAGCTTTTACTAGTGAATATTATCTGAATGCTTTTCTGAAAGTTGTAATAATACAGATGAGGAAATAACACATGTACCTACCCGTTTCTATTCGAAATCTATATTTTGTCACAGGACATAAGATTCGCAATGAGAAATTAAAGTCTGAGGTCGAACTGTGTTGTCGACAATATGCAAAATTCTAAGCACCTTTGCAAAATGCTCGCAATCTACACTAACTTTACAAAAATTTATTCTGCAACCATTTTATTGTACTTTCAAATAATAATTTACAATCTTTATTTCAATTTAGGTAGATGTGTTTATGCGTTATTCTTGACTCATAGCACAGTACGAGCAATGGTTATTTATGAAGAAGCAACAACAATTTGGAAATCACTCTAAATTGGAATAATGCAATTTAATTGTATACTGTCTTTGTGTGTTAACAAGCGGGTCCACGGCACAAATTTGACATCTGTCCAAAAAATATATAAACGGACAATCAAACAAATAAATGTTCCCAAAAACCATTAATGATAGATGTTTGATTATATTCAAAATAGTTGCATGTTCAGATTCACATGAATAACAATTATTTTTGGATTTGACTTAAATGTGTAAGAAATATTATGAAAGCCAAGTTTTAAAAGCCTCAAGGCCAGTTCAATCGTAATATTCAATCAGAAGAACTACACTCGTGTGTTCAAGTACAAAATAAATAAAATCTATTAATTTCAAAATTGACTTATGGTTTAATCGAAGATAAATTGGAGAAGTGTGTTCGACATTCAATTAACTACCGATCTATTTAGTATTTAATATTAATGTTTAACCACATCGATGATGGGGTTGGAACCTTTTTGTGGACTAGGATATAGTATGCTCCTTTCTCTTATAAAAAAAGGAGAACCAGAATAAAAAGATTACTGTGATAATATACCAGGATTAAAACAATCCAAATCAACCTATCAAAAGAAAAACTTAGAATCATCACAGGAATCCTAACAGGGCACTGTAAACAAAATACCACCTTACAAGACTTACGGATGCAAACTGTAGATTGTAGGCTCCTGCGAATGTATATTAGTACATATATTGGTGGCAATAAAACTCTGTAAAGTAGGTTCTATACTACTTATTATGGACGCAACAGGGCTTAGAGACCTACTCTCGGTAGCAGTGTCACATCCCATAACAACAACAAAAATTAATGGTTAAATTAAAATTTAATTTTCATTTAAAAAATACCGATCTAATTTTAAATAACAAGCTTATGCAAATATTTTGGTAGTATTGTATATATTTATTAAATATAAATATCGATATATTAATCATTGTTTTTAAATATAAATTTTTACTATGTTAAATTATTCTAATTAATTATTTTTACCAAACCATTTGGAAACTAATAAATTTTTATTATTATTTTTTCAGTGCGGTAAAAAATATAGAAGGCTCAGAAAGTATTTTAAGAAACATTCAGGAAATCGCAAAATCTTCAGTATTTTTAAAACAGCAACTGAAATTTGAAGATGGAAAAAATAAATCAAAACGTGAAAGTTCACGTAATTCTATGTACAAAAGATTTTCTGCCCACTTGACATTAGATTTTCCGGAACTTCCGGATTTTAGTGGGGCCATGAGAGATACCGGATATATGATGGAGACTATAATGACAACAAATAGAAGAGAGCATAACGTGCAACAAAACTCAGTAGGAGAATTACAACGATCACATACAACTTTGCATTAAATGTTAGTTTTTATAAAAAAAACAGCTGTTAAAAATTGTTGAACGTTGATTACATTGAACGGCGAGTTTAACAAACTAATTCCCACCTCTAATGGCTGCAAAGTGTCAGTGTAGAATATTTATTTAGAATTTCTAAGAATTTTAATTTTTTAATATTATTATTATAATATTATTATAATATTATTATTATAATATTATTATAATATTATTATAATATTATTATTATAATAATTTTATTATATTATATAATATTATTATAATAATATTATTATTAATATTATATATATATTATTAATTAATATATTATATAATATTATTAATATATATATTAATATTATTAATATATTATTATATTAATATTATTATTATAATATTATTATTATATTATTATTATATATAATATTAATATTATTATTAATATTATTATTATAATATTATTATTAATATTATTATTATAATATTATTATTAATATTATTATTATAATATTATTATTAATATTATTATTAATATTATTATTATAATATTATTATTAATATTACTGTTATAATATTATTATTAAAATTATTAATATTATTATTATATTATTATTAATATTATTATTATTATTACATATTTATTTTTGGTTGTTCTTCTTAATGTTAAACATATAATGTTTATATTCTCATGACAGTTTTATTTGTATATAATTAATTTTTATATTCTAAATATGTATGTGTATAATTATAATTCCATTTATTGCATGTTAAATTTATATAATAATTTTTAAAAAAAAGTATTTAAAAAATTGAAACATCAAAATTTGTTCTAAACTAAAGTTGTCTTATATGTCTCACAATTGTATTTTCTATTATGTTAAATATGTGTAATAATATTTATTAAGGAACTTGTTTAATTAAAAATTATCTTTATAAATTTAAGCATAATATAACATAATAAAGACTTTTATACATAGTCAAAAATATAAGAATGATATTGCTTTTTCAAATTGAGTAGGATATTTAAGTTATTTAACAAAAGTTGAATATGCCAAAAACAAATGTACATAAAATGTTTTACATGAGAGATAAAAGAAATCAAAATAAAAAAAAATAATGAACACTTGCAGTAGCAAATTTCTATTCGCTACTATTCGCAAAATATATATAGTTTCATTTCATTTTTGGTACCAAAGTACCAGTTACGTTAGGTTAGGTTAGGTTGGAGTGGCGGCCTTGTGTACCAAGAAAGCCTACTTGAGCTCAAATAATGGCCAGTTGTGGTACCACAGGAATAGCGATGGTTCGTATATAGACTAGGTGGTCAGTATACGACCAGCGCCGAAAAAGGCAGCGACTCCACTATTAAGTGAATGTAAACCAACTTAATAGTTCAATAAATCTGGCTAATCCCCTTTTACTGAAGGATGACAGCTCAGGCAGATCGGTAAGAAAAGGGGTCCGCAAGATTTTCGAGCTTCTCATACCTAAAGATGGGCACTGACACATGAGATAAAACACAGTTTGCTCCTCGTCCTCAGAGTAACCGCCGCGACAAAGATCGTTATAAGGAAGACCTAGTCTCATAGCATGCCTCCCATTGTGTAGTGACCCGTCAGCACCGATACCATAGTGCTGAGCAGATTTCGCTTTAGTTGAAGTAATTGACTGGTACGTTTTCTGTCCAAATTAGACCAAATCGACCTAGAAAGTTATTTCTAGGTCTTTCTATTTCTTAATCAATATTTTAGTTTTCTGTCAAAAGTTATTTGTAAACAAAAAGTAGACAAAATTAAAAAGTTTCACAAATATGAAAGCCGGGTTAGAAATTAATATAACGAAGACCACAGTAATGACAGGCAGACGTTAACGGGCAGAATGTCGAGTGTGTGAGTACTTTTAATTATCTTGACACCACGGTAACCTTAAAATGCGGTGCAGAAGAGGACATCACATCGCGAATAAACAAGGCGAAGCAACGTTTGGCATGTTACGCTCTATTTGGAAATACCAACAAATAACCACTCAAGTAAAAATTCGCATTTATAACTCGAATGTTAAGTCGATCCTGTTCTATGGTTGTGAGACATGGAAGCGTACAAATACAATTGATTCGCGTCTGTAAGCCTTCTACAATTAGTGCCTGCGTCAGATTTTACATATGTTTAAAACCAAACCGCATTAGTAATGCTGACCTCTGGAACGCCACCAACAAGACCCTCGCGTCTGTTGAAATCTGTAAATGAAAATAGCGTTAGGTTGGGTATATGTCGCGCAGACCGAACGAAAACATCGCCCGTCAGGAATAGTTAAGGCAGAGGTCGACGTGACAGCGCATCAGCAAGAACATGGAGAAGATCAATATAATTAGAAATGGAAGCTGCAAATTATTACTGGAATGATAATAGCCGTGAATCATGTAATACAGTTTGCTATAAGAGAATGGTCGAGGTCCTATGCTCCACTGGGAGATGAAGATGACAGAAGAATAATATTGTTCGTTAGTTGTTAGTTTTATAGTGTGTCCATAAGAATTCTATAAAATTGGTAACTTACAAATAAAATCTTTGTAATACTAAATCTTGACAAAAATTTTTTGTCTTTTATTTCGAGCGTTTCTTTTAATATATTTTTATACGTATTTCGGCAAATTCCCTTTTGCCTTCATCAGGAGAATTCCCAATAAATATAAGTTTATACCTAATCTAGACAGTATATGTTATTATTAAAGTGTAAGTTTTTGGTAAATCTGATCTTAGAAAATATATTTTGTGAAAAGTCAATAAAATAATAAGTTTCTTATATAATAGAAATTATATACAATACCGTTGTATGCTTCAGATTTCTAACCACTTCACTCTCCAGAGATAATACTATATCCCATACTAAAATGTCATCGACCAAATGTTGTAAATTTAAGTTTTCTGTATATTTCTGATTACCAGAGAATGGTCTCTTGTAAAGGTGTTTGCATTAAATTTTGACTGTATATCATTGAAGTGCTAGTTTTAATCAATCTAATATATTGGTCCCTAACGAAGCATCGCAAAATATATTTTATTGATAATCGCAATTGAATTATTATATTTTTCATGCAGTGAATATCAAAAAAATGTTGTTTAGACTACTGTTTTATTCTCAAGGTTAATCAAAGTTGGTCTGTAAATGCTTTCAACTTTTTAATACTCTAGCAACGAGGAATTATGTTACTCTTATGTGGGCACCGGGACATGAAGGGCATGAGTGCAATCTAATACTTTCTAAGACTTTCTAGCTAAGAAAGATGCAAGTATTTCTTTTATTGGTCCAGAGCCTTCGGTAACATTGGTAACAAATAGCTTCACAAATAACTTAATATGTTAACAGGAGAAACAAAATCTACTTGAACCCAGGAGAGCCCAAACAGGCATGCAGCAGTCAAGAAGATTCATTGATATTGAAAACTGAAAACTTCAAAGTTAACGTTAACCTTAACCTTAGCAGAAATGATATTAAACTCTACACTAAACTTCTTACAGGACATTGTAGACTTAATTACCTTAAGTACTTAAGTGTGATTGAAAGTGCGATTCCTGTCGACTCTCTCATGAGGAGAAGGAAATATCAGAACATGTTCTATGGAACTACCCATCGGCGGCAAGATGTAGACTTATATAGCTTGAAAGCGGAATCTTAGTCCCAAATCAAATAGTTAAAATCAAGCTCACAGCAATTACGAGATTTGTAATAGTCTAGAATTATTTTAGTTGGACTTTTAAGCACACAATAGATATTTTAGATCGAGGTGCATGGATAGCTTATTATTTAGTAATAATAATAATACTATTCTCAAGGTTTCTAAGTTCAGTTCACAGTTCAGGGATGATAACATATTGCATTATAAAATGCCTTCGAATTAAAGGAATCGAAAAAATCTTTTAAATGTAAGTTTTTTTTTTGTCCACGTTCCGATAAAAGGAGATATCAGTCTTTTAGTAGGTTTACTTACAGGTCACTGTAAACTAGGGAATCATGCTAGAAGATTAGGTTTCCCTTTCAATCAAATCTGTCGCAGTTGTGGGGAAGACGATAAGAGTACCTCTTATCTACTATGTTTGAGTCTAGCTCATTCACGGAGGCGATTCAATACTTTAGGAGCCCCCTTTCTTGAGGATGTTGACTAATTACAGGACCTGACACTAAATAGCATTTTAGACTTCACCAACGGTTGTAGGTGGTTGTAAGTCCTGAGTTTTTCTTATATATATGGTAACATAATGGCCCTATAGGCCTAAGTGGATCCACTAGGGATCGCCGGTATAACCTAACCTATGTTTTTCTTTTTAACTGAGAAGGATCCGTTCTAAAGATGGTTGTATTTCGTATATCACTGAACTTAGAAACTAAGTTGTACACTATTCCAATTAGTCTAGATAAATGTAGACTAAGAAAGCCAGCTCTCACTTATGTCAAATATTGTCGTAACAAAATTAATTATTAAGGCCATGTTCGAATTCGAGTAAATTGAGGGAAGTAGTAAATTATGTCGGTAAGGAAGCGAATGTTAATATTTACGAGAATTTCGTGTAGGGTAAATTAGATATAAATTAGTTAATATAGGTGTTACCATTGTGAAAATTTTATAAGATGTTGAATAAATAAATAAATAAATTTGAAAACTTTTAACTAATAATAATAAATAAGTGCAATAAATAAATAAATAAATAATTACATAAGTGCAGTGCAAAAAATCCCTAGGAAATTTCAATTTACTTTACCTTAATTTACTCGAACTCGCACACGGCCTAAGAATCAATTATTCTACTCATAGATGAAGATAAGTTATAATGAGCATAATTTAAATATAATATACTAAATTTTTCATATATGAAATATAAGCATGAATAAGTATGAATATAAGTTAACCAGTATGGCAAGTTGCACTGTGCCATACTAAACCAACCTGGATTTTCGTACATTTCCTTAAAAACTAGAGTGTTGAAATTCGAAAGCTGGCGCATGTGCAGATAATTTTTTAGTTATACATATATACGAATGTAAATACCATGAGAATAAAATTTGCTCGTTTAAACAAAACATTTATTTATGAATAAAAATCGACTAGAAGTAAAATAAAATGCATATAATTGCTACAAAATCATAAGAACTTTTCGGGACTGTTAAAAAATATCTATTTGTTTGCGCTTTAAACAAATGAGGACCTGCAAAATGGTTATTACTTGACATGTATATATACGTTTCTTCCATTCAGTGCACATAGATTGATGCCTAAGAAACAACATTTTCCAAAAAGAAATCAAGAAATCAGTTTAAGTGTTAAAATAATTAGTGTCTCGAGTTTCTGAATTTCCAAGAGATATACGTTTAAATTTATAATGAGTAGTGATAAATTTAAATAATCAATTAATCCACATATATTAAATATGTGCAATTGCAATGGAAAGGTAATTTAATTTATTTAGAAAAAAATCAAAAAAAAAATCAAAAAAAATCAAAAAATTCAAAAAAAAACAAAAAACAGTGCAAAAGTATCTACAAAACTTTATATAATTTATTAATAAAAATTATATAAGTTAGTTGTGTATATTAATATACAGAAAAAAGTGAAAATATTTAAAAGAGTTATGAGATATGCTTGTATATAAAAATATAGATACGTCGTATACATGCTTGATAAAAATAGTAATACAAATGAACAAAAACTCCCTGCAAAGGAATACGAAACATATAAAATCATCTACTGGGACTAACATTCGCACATCGTTAAAGATTGAGCCCGGGCATATTAAAATGCATGCAGTCTCCTTAATTGCTTTTCTAAATGCCAAAGTTATTCGAGACCCAATAATCTGTGTAAATTGATAAACAGATAATTAAAATGCCAAACTTTGTGTGAGAGTTCATTTGCATAAAGCCATTATTTTCCTTTACTCTGATTAACTGTCAGGCTAATGAATTGATAAATATGATTTCGGTTTGAAGATGAGTGATGTGTAGTATTATACTTACTTTTAGTTATGCAGTTTGTCTATACCTAATGATAATTATAGGTATGTCTAGAGTACTTTCTAACATTTGCACAAGTTTACGTAATATATCTAGCACTAATAATGTTTAAGTATATAAATTAGTGTAAAAAGTACTACTAAGAAAATCCTATCAAGGTTGCCCTTTGAAGCATCAGGTTATTTAGAACACTTTTACTACAACGCAAAACATTGATGACATCGCATTTAACTTTTGTATATATACATGAAATACACTTTTTAAGCCGTAGGCGAATAACATGAAAAAAAATGAATGTGCAATCTTATAGTTTGAAGAAGTTCTAAAATTCCTGTGTTTACACTATAGTAATTTACTTAAGAAATTGTGTAATAATAACTATAATTTTTTATACAAATGCCATATAATCAGATTCTTTATTTCTATAATTTTAATATAAACACAGCAAGTGATTTGTTAATGAAACTTTCACAGCAAATTAACAAAACTCTAGAAAAATATGCGTACATAAAAGTCAAGTACGGTTTTGGGTCAGTTGGTTAAGGAGCGCTGACTCTGCACTTCAAATTTGACAGGGCATGAGTTCGATACCTTGTACTTGTAGTCTCAAAAAATTATTTACGAATAATTAAATACAAGAATTATGTCCAAGACCACTGATGATGGGTATTTAGCAATGCTCAAAACAGTTGTATGGTTAGCCAAAAATTCAATTAATTAAAATAATATAAAAAGAATTTCTGTTGTTGTAGTTCATTACTTTTTAAAAAATATTTTTATAATTCTATAATTAAATTGAAATAAATATACTCTAATTCTAATATTTGTTTGGAACCATTTAATATACGAAAATGTTCCAAAATACTGAGTTGTTCGTAGATAGTCAACTTGGTTAAATAAAAAACGGGCTTTTAGTTTCAGTTTATTTATCTTTTATTTTAAATATGATAATCCATTTGTGATTTCATAAAATTTACTAATGATTAAGATTTAATTCAAATTTTGATATAAGTTGTTATGACTGAAGTGACTATTTCACTTAATAAAAACTAGTATATTTGATAGGGAGGTTTCGAATAGTCAATTGAAATTTTTATTTAAATATATATTTTCGACCTTGTCATTAAATGTAAAGCATAATAGCCCTAATTTTTTCTTTTTTGCTCTTTGCGAGCAAAGAAATACTCGCAACTTTCGAAAAAAAACATGTGAAGCAACAACAATGCTCTTAAAATCTTCAGAGTTAGGTTTTACTGGCAAAATATGTTGCAAAATTCCAATCATCCGTTCAAATCATATCAGCAATTTATTAACTTATAAATTCAAATAAATAAATAAATTAATTAATTTAAATATATAAGATAAAAATGCTGAGACAGTTCTGTTTGACATACGTTACTGTCAAATCACAAAGTGGATAATCCTCATCAAATATATATACCAGCACATATTCCAACACAATAACTATAATACTCGAACATTTTTGAGTTGCGTTCGAGTATACTCACGTATATCACGTGATATACTCGAGTATATCACAACATATTAAACAAAAGAACTGTTCCCATTCGTAATTGAATTTAAGTAGGACTCGAATCGAATTCTAATTTTACTATTTTGAGTTCTCATACCTAAAAAATTCTAATAAAACTGCGTTATGTGATCAAATCTTACACGTCTTTTTGTACCGAATAAAGTTTACTTGAATTTAATTTTATAAATTTATTCATAAAGAGGTTTTTTCGAACAGTAGTGATCTACAACAACAAAAATTTTATTTTTTTTTATATTATTTTAATTAATTGAATTTTTGGCTGACCATACAGCTGGTTCGAGTATTGCCAAATATCTATCATCAGTGGTCGTGGAAATAAATTTATTCAAGTAAATTTTAGATAAGATTAATCCTAATCCTAATCAAGTATAGAATTTACAATTATTCCCCATATGTTCTTGCGAAATTTAGTATAAATAAAAATATTCAGACATGTAATTAAGATTTAACCCAATAAAAAAAGATATGAAAGGTGAAAAACTTTGTTTTTTTCGTTCAAATAAAACTGTCAGCACGAATAAAAGCAAATGATTTGTTGAAAGCGTTTCAGAGAGATAATAAAATTTTACTACCATTTTCAACCATTTTACCATTTTTACTAGATTTTTACTTAAAAATATGCTCTAAGGGTGTTTATGAAGTATTTATCGAAAGAAGTTATGAGATTTAGAAAAAAAAGTACTAATAACTATACTATGATTATAAATAAAAGAAAATATAGTGAACTCTCACGAGTTGGCACCACATTGTTTCTAAAGTAATTTTACTTGCATTTTTGATTTAAAAAGTTACTAAAAAACATAAAATTTTTATATAAAAAATTATTTTTCCACAATAATCTCCTTAATTTGTTGACAATTAATTTTACCACACAATCAGTAATTATATTTAGTATTTCTTTTTTTTTTTGACTTTGTTAAATTAAATACCACAACATCAAATATTACAAACTCTCAGTAGTTTAGAGATTACACATATTCTTTAAAAAATATCTCACCGTCTTCACCGCCAAGTATCAAAAACCTGATATTTTCAATTGCAATGGAATATGTAATAAATAGTCTACCATCCCATCAACCTTCCGTCCTTAAAAGCATTTCCATATCATATTTTGTTTAATTTTTCACAGCATCGATAGTTGGAATTAATTTTTGTGAAGTGGGTTTGATTATTTTGAATAGTGGCACTAGTCCCTCAGTGGCATACTATATTATCATTCTTATTATATATTATGAGAGCTGAACACTGGTTCAGTAAACCCGCACACGTATTACTTAATATCTATTAAGTACAATTCAGCAAAAGTAATAAATTAATAAATAGTTAAGAGTGTACTATGCATATCCAATAAAGCATATTATAAAAAAAAAACCTTTTTATATCTTATTAGCATTGGCCAGATTCTTGCCTTTATAAATGCCTCAGGCTGGTTTCTAGCTTAATCTTCTCTTTACTATCCATTTTAATGAAAATTTGTGGATTCAAAACGGTTTCCTTAGCTAATTGAGGTGGATTTGGTCCTTCCTCCACCACAACTAACTAACTTTGTAAATATGTACTAATACATTGTAAATCATATTACATAGGAAATACTACATATTAAATATACATTATTACACTTTAAATGTGGGTCATTCTTTTACAAATCGGACCGATTTTGGCAAAGTATGACTTCATCACCTCCGATTTGGCTGAAATTTTTTTATGAGCCCTTTCATAAAATAAGAACACCCGTATCTATCAGATATGATCCTATGGGGTTTAGACAATTAGCATTGTAAACACATTTTTAGACACAATAGTTTAAACAATTAAGATTGTTTATATTGAAGAGCTAATATTGAAAATTTTTCTTCTCCCGCAAAACACATAAGCACATACTTACGTATTATATTTCCGATTTATAAATTTTTAAAGAATATAATACAAAAATTCTTACATATTATTTGTGATTTCGATTTATAATAAAATTCTACACAAAACCCAAAAATTTTAAAATGGTATTGACCTTACAATTATTTTTTAAAAATTATTCGTAATTTTTCCTTTATACGTCACTCATACGCACTGTAACACCATTGAATTAATCGATCCACAAAAAATGACACCAAAATTTTTACATTTTATTTCTGTATTGAATGTATCATTAAATTCTACATAAAAATAAAATCAAACTTTTTAGGACGTTATTGTTTTCTTTAATAAAAACATTCTTAATTTTTTGAACCATTTCTTAAAAGTCCAATCAATTATCTTTAAAACGCAAAAAATTTCAAATTTCTATTATTTATGGAGTTTGAGATATGGTCGTTTAAAAATGTGTCTACAACGCTAATTGTTAAAACCCCATGGGTCCATATCTCCTAAGAAAAAAAAATTCAAAACTTTTTTCAGAGATAAGGGTCTTCTTATTTTACGAAAGGAACGTATAAAAAAAAATTCAGCCAAATCGGAGGTGATGAGGTCATTTTTTGCCAAAATCCATATAAGTTATTACATATTGATTACTATTATAAAAATTAATATATAAATTTCTATAAATTCAATATGTTAATTTGTATGTCATCGTATATACACATTTTTTATTTATGTAACTTAATATTCATATCATCTTTCATAAGATGAAAGATGATATATATATATATATATATATATCATATATAGCCCACTAAAAAACTTCTTTGAATCAATACCAATGCTTTCAAAAATTACCAAGAAATTAAATATATATATTATAATTATAAATAACAATTATAATAGATATTTTATAATGTATAAAAATCTCAATAGCAAACATAAAAAATATTAGAAAAGACGAAGGGTGTTTTTGGAACCTTTCGTTTTTTGAGGTTCTCCTCCAAAATAAACTATTTTTATTTTAATTTAATTTTTAGTACAACAGCAATTTCTAAAGATGCGGTCAAATAAACCACGAAATGTCTGCTTGTATATAATTTAACTAAATAAATAAAAAGGTTTTTCGAAAAGTAGTGAACTACAACAAAAATTCATTTTATATTATTTTATTTAATTGAATTTTTGGCTGACCATACAGCTGACTCGAGTATTGCTAAAAAGCCATCATCAGTAGTCTTGAAAATAATTTTTCAAGTACCAGGAATCGAACTCGTGCCTTCCGAAATTTGAAGCTCAGAGTCAGCGCTCCTCGCATATTTTTCAGGAGTTTCAAAACCAATAAGTACATAATAAAAATAAATACCTGCTAGTCATTGAATAAAAAATATTCATACCTTGCATATTATTGAAAAGGGGGTCAAGTTATAGAACAGTAAAATAAATACTCAACAATATTTGCAAATCATATTTGATCTCCAGGGATATGACTATTATTAACAACAAAATTAATTTAAATAAATTAAATTGTTAAATCGTTGTTGGTTAAATTTTATTTTGTAATTTTATATATGATAAATAAAGTTAGTTCTATGCAGACTTCATTAGAAGTAACACGTATACGTTTCAAAAACCAAAAGGTTCTATTGGTTACTTGGACGAAATTCACATTTTACATCGAAAGTGAGATTATATAAACAAATTATAAAAACAGTGTGGATATAAAACATTCAGCTATGAAAAATAGCAACTTAAACCAGTATAGGTATCAGTCAAAAATTCTGTGAACAAGTAGGTTTTCAGAATTATATTTAAATTAAATATATACTGCCATATTGAATATATGATATAAACATAAAAACCTAATTTATAATGTTAATTTTTTCTTGCCGGGAGTGATGCATCTTTATGACGAAAAGAAACTATTTAAAAGTTAAATGGGTTCGAATAGCAAAGAAAAGACAAAGACAAAAATGTATTTAATTTATTGAAATTTGGTTAACCATATAACGTTGTTTCGAGTATTGCCAAGTACTCTTCATCAATGGTCTTAGTAAAAACTCGAAACAACGTTGTATGGTCAACCAAATTTCAATAAATTAAATAAATTTTTGTACTTTTCTTTTTTTTTGCTATTCGAATCCATCTAACATAAAAACCTAATATTAAGGGACCGAAAATAATAGTTATTTCAAAATTTTTTAAGAAAAAAAGCAGCAACAAAATGTTGTCTAAACTCTTATATAAATACATAATTTTCATTTCATCCTGAATATTTGGCATGCTTTATATATATGAGCGTTTAAAAAAAAAACTCAAAAAATAACAATTATATTTGCTTTATATTTTATTTTTCATTAAAAAACCTTTTGTTAGTCAATATGACTAGTTTTTGTTGAATTTAACTTTGCAATTTGTTTAAATATAATAAACAAAAAAAAATATTTATTTTTCAGAAATAATTATTATCATGTGCTCTTTATTTTTCCGCACACAAATAACACTTACGCACTGATTTTTATTTTAAAACGCTACTTGTGTGTTATTTTTGCCTTAAAAATATAAAATTCAGGAATAACTTTTATTTTTGAAAACGAAATATAATTCACACGAAGTGCTCGATAATTTTAAAAACGAAAATATAAAACGTGTTTTGTATGTAAGGTAGTTGTTTTTGTAATTTCATACAAAATGTATTAAATGGTTGGTACATGTGATGTGAACAGACCCCCCCCCCCACGCACATTGTAACTAGACAAAAAAAAACTTTTATACTAACATATGTATTATTTATATTCACATTTCATAGTATGTGCAATTAAAGTAATTTTAAGGATGTTGTGGCAATAATAAATAATAATATTATAATAATAATAAATACTATAATAATAAAAATATTTAATAAAACTGATATATAACCAAATAATTCGTCCGTCACTTCTATATGGTTGTGTAGCGTAATGCAAAGCTTCAAAAACTACTATTCGCCAGCTAGAAATTGCACAAAGCCAGGCTCTGAGAAGACTTTTCAAAGTACCTTGGTACATTAGGACGAATGACATTCTCAGGGACCTCAAGATTGAATCTATCAAAAAATACATAAAGGATAGAGCCCTGAAATTATTTGCGAAAACTGACAGACTTACCAACACCAGATTATCGAATCTCAGAATGGTTACAGGCTCTTAGGGAAGGTAAGCAGATCTGAGGTCAATTATTGCTTAGTCTGATGAAGTGATAATCAATAATCCAGTCAAGGCATAAAGAGGGGTTTTAAAAATACCTCGAGTTAAGAAAGAGTAAAAGTGCTCAAGTGCACTGGCTCAAATAGCTTCAACATAATTTAATAAAATATCTTCTACGTATTATAAATTGTTGAAGTTTCAAAAAATTACAGTGTAGAGGTTTTCATTTTGGACTCGGTAACTTGACATAACTATTCCTACTATAAAAACACATTTAACAAGTTACATAAAATATAAACCATTATCTTATTTACTGTAAATATATTTAATTGTTTTTACTTACTTTTTCCAGGTTATATGGACCTTCAAGTAAAGCTTAAAGTATAATAGTTACCATGCAACCTAATCAGATCACGTTATGTCAATGCCAAGTCAATTTATTTATCTCCATAAGTAACATCTTTCATTAACTGATTCAGGTAAGTAGTCATTTGTATGTCCAATAACTATTTTTAAATAAATAGTTACTTTAAAAGTACGTAGTAACGCCTTTACACCAAGGTAGAGAAAAATTAAACGTTTTCTTATTATCTCTCTTCTTAATTAAACTGTCTTGTTTGAAATACTAAAAACAGCGTTTGACAGTTTTGTTGGACATATAATATATATGTCACTGAAACAGTACTATCGAACCAATTAGAAGATCAAAAGGGGCTTCTGTTGTATAGTTTAGTTTTATGTATGTTAGATACCAAAGCTATAATAAATATTTGATTTTTTTAAAATAATTTAAAATTTTATATCTAATCATTTATAATTTTTATATCTTATTATTTATAATTAATTTAAAAAAAATAATTTCAGACCATTTTTGGCCAACATTTATAAAAGAAAACGCACTGCTCACTAATGTCGAAATAAAAGTAAGTATTATTATATACCTAAAGTGTATATTTTAAAAAGTATTTTTTTAATATTGGTGTTTAAAAATTAATTATAGTAATTAAGCTATTCTAAATTATTTAAGTATAATAGTTATTTTGTGATTTAAAGCGTATTTTCGCATTAGATCTGTTTTTAAATTTAGACAAGTCACGACTTAAAAATTTCTTGAAATCAAATATGTCCAAGAAACTATTTTCAATAGGAAATGAATAAATTGTGAAAAATTACAATGTAATTTTTTTTTTTATTTAATTAAATTTTTTAGCTTTACAAACACAGCTCTGCCAAATACACATCATCAACCTTTTTAGAAGATTAGTTTTTTTTTGATTAAATTGTACGTATATAATTCTTAGATCGCTGGTATTAATAATCAACTTCAAATCCTGCTAGTTTTAAGGCGTAGATTAAAATAACACTCCAAACGTAAATTGGACCTTTTAGATAATTACAGAAGTTAAAAAAAAAATGGTTATCTTTTCAAACATGCAAGTATATATAGAAAATAAATATAGTCTACAGATCATTTGCATTGGATTTTATTTTAAAATATTTTTGGAATATATTTATTGTTGTTGTTGTAATTTGAGTTAGTGCTATTGCGAACTTTTACTCTTTTGTGGCTTGGGGGCTTATCACTGCCCCACACTAAACTTTAACTATATTAGAAGTATTATCATTTATTTATCTTCTAACTGATGACAGACCGTATATCTGCATATCTTTCTGTGCGTCTTGAGGTGAACTTAAGGTTTGTTAGGGCGGGGTTGGGCAACGTATCAAATTTTGTGAATAATTTTAGGGCTCTGTCCTAGATACATTTTTTCACTGAGTCGATCCTTAGATCTCTATGCACGCCTATTGTTCTAATATACAAAGGAATCTTAATAAGTCTTCTTAAAGCCAGATTTTGTGCTATCTATAATTGCTTTATGGCAGTGTTTGAGGCTGTATGTTTTGCTGTATGTTACAAATCCGTATATAATAATTTTCTATTTTTGAGATTGAAGCGATTATTATTAAACAGCGGCTTAAGGAGATGTAGAATTTTAGAGCAACTATACCGTTTGCATTTCATATGTTTATACCAATTAAGCCCTTTGTCAAAAGTGAGTCCTAGATATTTTATGCTTTCCACCCACCTCCCATCTCCATGCCACCGACGCTCACTCCTGAAGGATGCTGCCTTCTATTTCGTGTTATGAATATAGCCTTGGTTTTTTTTTTGTTATATATATTATATTTACATAATTATATTTTATTACAAGTGATAATTGAAATTTTTCTTACAGGTTTTGTGAAAGTTGTTATGATGGAAGCAACAGTAACAAAATTAAATTTTTTGTGGAGTTTACTTTCAATCCTCTTTTTTATGTGTATTGGCACCTTTTCAGGTACGTACAAATTTTAAGATTATACATTTTGACATTGAAGACATTAAAGTCTATTATGCTATTAAAATAATATGACAAAAATTTTATTTATTTATTATTATTTATTATTATTGTTTATTATTATTTATTATTATTTATTATTTATTATTATTATTATTTATTATTTATTATTTATTATTTATTATTTATTATTTATTATTTATTATTTATTATTTATTATTTATTATTTATTATTTATTATTTATTATTTATTATTTATTATTTATTATTATTTATGAATATTACAACTGGAGTATTTCAAATGTGTTCGTTAAGTCGGTAAAGTGATAAAATATTATTTGTATTTATTTTATTTCTACATATTTAATGAAAAGTATAGGATTGATATCTTAAACAGTATGAAGCTTAATACGCTAAAAGTTCCTCAGTTCGGACTGTTGTATTCGCCTTTATGTGCGCTATGTTGGGTATTATGTTGAAGGACATTGTAAGTACTGAATTTTAATCAGTTAAATGCAGCAGAAGGGATTTCTATATATTTTTATACTTCATTCGTATTACTTAAATCATCAATGATCACTGAGTGCTTAAATCAAATCATTCCAATTATCCAACTATGGGTACATTCGAAAGATTGTTTCAAAATTTTATTAAATTTCTGCCATTTCATAATTGCCACTTCTCTGTAATAGTCGTCATCATCTTAGCTTACCTTATATAGTCGTATATTTACTAATAGGATTAGAATTTTTCGTATAGTAACGTATGCGCGGTGACTAACAAAAATTCTCTTAGTTTCTCAAAAAATTCTCAAAAAAAAAATTGAACCCTCCAGTTTAAAATTTTTATAGAACATATTGAGCATCCCCACCTTGTGTTTGAGTGAGAATATGAAGACACGGTTATACTGATTTCTTCGTATATATAAGATGATTACTTAATATTTGCCAAACAGCCCAGTGCATCAGCAAATTTTTTTTTTGGTCAATTTTTATATCATATATGTTTACATTGATGGAAAATGGTGGGCAATCCTCTTACACGTTCTAAAATCTCCGAAACCACTTCGAAACAGTCACAAGCAATAATAATCTTATTTCCTTAATCTTAATTCGAAAAATCGATGATCAAAATTTTCATCATTTGAACGGTTTTCCCTCGGTGCTCTATTTGTAGAGGTTCTGTTGTATATATAGCTTACTAAAACGTCCAAATTTTTCGAAAGATTTATTTACTTAGTTGCAATACTTTAATTTCTCAGACAGCTAAGTTGTAGTTAAAAGATTTTTAACCATAAGTTAGATTAGTTAAGTTCAGTAACCTATTGCAAACAATATGTTCCAACATTTTGCTCATACTCGTAGTGCCCAACAAACAGATCTGTCTAATTTCTGGTAGTTTCTGGTGTCTGGTGGGTTTTCACACAATAAATAAGTACTAAATAAGTTTGTTCTTGCTATTATCGATTTTGTTGTATATATCTCGAGTTCAGGGATATTATAATATCATATGCTTGAAATCTCATTAATTGAATAAGTGAAAGTTTTTAATTTCTTTATTATTGAGTTAGTTAATTAAAGTTGGATTGTGTATAGTCATATCAGTTGCTTATATTAACAAAATCTTGTGAAACGCATGACTTAAAATTTTAAAACTTTAACTTTTGGTTTTCGAATGATTCGATCAATTAGATCGAGCCACTGTTTAACAGATTCTGATATATTTTAATTTTTTTTGTGATTATAAAGAATTTATTCTCATATCACATTTTACATATTTATTTCATATACTTTATTTAGTATATCTTACCAAAGCATATTATTTTACAATAAAATTTAAATTTTTTAGATATTGGAAGAATGCCTTCACAGCAAAACCATTTCGAAAGTAATATCGAATCCCAGTTTACAACAAAAAATAATACCAGAGTTGTTGCTCAAAAAGGAGGCCTAGCAATTTTACCATGTGTTGTTAAGCTCAATTCACCAGCAACGGTAAGTTTTATTTATGAAATTATATAATAATAATATTAATATAAAAAAAATTGGAAATGTAAATAGTTTGTTTGATAATAGGTAATATTCTTTATCTTTAAAGCGTTTGAGTATATTTGTTCAATTATTAAAATACATGGTAGCAAACGACTAATTCCTTTTTAAAGCTTTGACGATTTAATCTTAAGAATAAAATCAAACATAAACAAATGAAGAATTTTAGAATTGTTTAGAAAAGGGAAATAATAAGTACCTTATAGTAATTCAAACTAGTCTAAGACTAATCTTAGACTAAATGCTAGCGGATCAACTCTAGTCAAACTAGTCTAAGACTAATCTTAGACTAAATGCTAGCGGATCAACACTAGTCCGTTTTATATAAAAATAAGTAAGCGAGAACAAGTATATGTGCATTTCCTAGGGGCTCTGCATTGGTTACAACTTCTTTTCAAGTAGTTCGTGTGAACCATCCTCTAGTAAGTCGAACTAGTATAAGTTTAACGGACAAGGACTAGTCTGTTTTATATAAAAGTAAGTGGACTTTTTACATTTGATTGCCTAGGAAGCGGACCAGCTGTTTCGCTTTGTATATTTAGTTAATTGAATATGCAATAAAAACAGTGAAAATATAATTATCTTCTATATTTTTAAATTAATTAAATGACTTATTTGCAGGTTTCATGGATACGTCGTAAAGATTTTCAGTTGTTAACAGTAGGACTCTCGACACATAGTAGTGATAAACGTTTTCTTGTTGAACATGCTCGCCATATGGGCCATTGGTCTTTAAGAATTAAATCAGTTAATGAAGAAGATCATGGATTTTATGAGTGCCAACTTTCAATATATCCAACACAATCCATCTTTATTGAACTGAACGTTGTTGGTAAGTTAATTTTCTTTTAACATTACTTTTAACTTAGTTATATAATAAAAAATATAGTATTTAAAATATACATTATGTCTATATCACAAAACTATGATAATTAATATGAGCGTTCGGGAGACAACTATGAGAATTCTTGTTAAAAATAATGCCGAATTAATTTCACAATTCAAATAAAAACTATTTCATATATTCTATTAACAAAAACATCATAGTATGTCACAAATAACAGGTTAAATTAGGATTAGCGTAACAAGAAATCCAACGCCAAAGTTGGAGAAACCAATACCGTCTCAGTGGTTGCCTGAGTATCCGAGTGCCATAGCAAAGACAGGGCTTTGTAGTCCATGTTAATAATCCCAACGACTAATCTTAATTACTAGAGATTAACTACTAGATTACTAGAGTAATCTAGATTACTAGAGTGTTATAGAGTAGAGCTGGTTAATTATATTGTTAATAAAAAAAATTTAGGAAGATTAAATATTCTTTATCAAGACTCTAATATGTAGTAAAAGCTAATTTTAAAAACTTTTATATAGTTAAAGTGCAATTGTGGACGATTTCATAAGTTTACTTTTAATATTAATTCTTAGAGAGGTTTCGAACAGTACTAAATTGCAACAACAAATATTTTTATTTTTGTTTATGGAATGAGAAGTGTTCAAAATTCTATGTATTGTTTTATTTTAGAGTAATTCAAATATTTTCTTCATATATTTATATTTATATTTAAATATTTTCTGCAGAAGCGGTTGCCGAAATTGCTAGTACATCAGACCTATATATAGATGAAGGCTCCACCTTACGCTTAGAATGTAAAGTAAAACGAGCTACAGAAAATCCAGCTTTTGTGTTTTGGTAAATATCATTATTAATTATTAAAAAGTTAATATTGACTAATTGTCTTATTTTTTTAAAAATAAAATTTTTACTTTCTTTCATCAATAAACAGTTAATTTATAAAATATTAAAAAAATATTTGATAATATTAAATTGAAAATCATTATATGAAATGGTTTATTTTTTACAAAATTTAAGATTCATTTTATTTAATGTTAAAAAACAAAATTTATTTTTAGTAAAAAAAAATTTAAAAATTTAAAATAAATATATAAAACTAATAGTGAGCAAATGTTCAAATTCCACTGTTAAAGTTTTTATCAAGTGCGTACTTTGGCTGACCTTATAGGTTTAACAAATATTGCCAAATATCCGTCATCAGTGGGCTTTGGTTTAATTGTCCGTATATATTACTTTGACTGTAGTCAGGAATTGAATTGTGAATCGTAGACTTGAATTTGATCAATTTTTGTTGTTCATAAGTAAACAATAATTGCACCTGGCGTGATATTTTTAGAATTAACTCATAAACAACGGCTATAAAAATGTACTTAACTATTAAAAATTGTTGTTGTCTTCAGTATTATTATTGTAGGATATAGAATATTTACTTTCCATTTCTTGATGGTATGCTTTTTCTCATCTTTATTACATTTTTAACAGATAAAATAAACTCATGGACTATTTAATCTATTCACATCAACTTGAGAGAGACATTCGATATATTAACATATTTGATTACTTATTTATAAAATACAATTGTATGCGCTTTAGATAATTTTTCAATTTTAGATAAATATTAGGACAATTTGTTAAACTCTTTTTAAAATGTGGTAAAAACAATTTTTAATAATTTATTGTTTTAATGACCAAATATTTTTAATAATAATTTTGTTTTTTAACACTCTAATTGGTCAATAATTAAATAATTAACTATTTAAAAAATTTTTTTGTTTTTAAAAATATTTTATTTAAATCGATATTTCGACTATATTCTTTCGTTATCATCACGGTACTATATAATGTTAATATAATATAACAATACTTTAGTATATATCACAAAAACACAATTATACAATACATTAACCTATTGAGTCCAAAACAGTATTGGCTTTATATTGTATCACATCAAAGCATGAGAAGGACCTATGTAATGTAAAGCTGTTCCACCAAGAAAATTACCAACAAAAACGCATATCCTTGGAAATGCTATATATTCCACAAACTGTTAGTAACACCAGGCTTAATTATAAAACAAATCCGGAAGAGGATAAATAATATATCCTATATTTATTGTCAAAATATTGTATAATTATTTCCTCTATATATGTAACTCAAGTTTTAATGTTAATTGTATAATTTTTCTTTGTAATATATACTAAAATATATATATATACCCTGATAATGACTATAGTATATAGTCGAATTATCACTTAAAAAAAAATCTTTTTTTTTTTAAATACTTATATATTTATTTATTGCATTTTCTTTTACAATGAGACTAAAAATAAGTTTTAAAATCTTATCACTAATTACATAATATTACAGTTTTTATTTTAACTATACATTGTATAAAATAATATAAAATAAGTAAACTTTATATCACGCACCTCTCTTAGATCAATGGGTTAAATTTCATTGGAGTGAATGTTAGGTAGTTTATTAAGGAAGCAGTTCAACTTAATCAGATTACTAAAAAGAAAGGTGCGGTTCTTACTTTAAGCTATTGAATATTAATTAATGGCTGGACAATCAGCTCTTTTTGGGCGGGAAGTAGTGAATAGAAGTGCGAAATTCCTAGCTAAGGGGTTAACATGTTCTGTCAGCCTACTATTGTATTTTTTTCTTGTTTGTCAAATTCGGCTTTAACTAATGGAATTTGTAGATCTCGGTGGATACTTTCATTCCTAATATACCATGGGGTTCAAGTAATTGTTCTCAGTATTTTTGACTAAGCTCTTTGGATAATTTCAATATTTGAAGCATGAGCATTACCGAATAGCTGGATACCATAAGTCCATATTGGTTTTATGATGCTGTTATACAAGAATACTTTATACTCTAGGCATAAAGAGGATGTGTTATTAATGAGTCAATGCAACTTAGAGGCTTGGAGCTTACTCTGAATTTTTTTGGTTTCACTATAATTGCGCCAAGTTAGTCGTCTGCCTAAGTGAATACTTAATTACATTATATTATCTGCTTGTGGTATGGAAATTTTATATAAACATATAAAATCTTTTAAAAAACAAAAACAATTTTAAAAACTTTATTATTTAACTATTGACCAATTAGCCCGTTAAAAAGAAGATAATTATTAAAAACAATTTTTTTTAAATAGATTTACAATAGATGCTATATTTTTTAAATATGTGTTCTTTTCTCTTATAATAGTATGTAAATAAGTTAAGTTTTCTAATATTTCATATCGTAAAGTAGAGCATCATTACAAAACTTCTGTATCTTTTACAAGCTCGTCCATTCACAGCCTTCTTTTTTTTCCATATATATGGATGATGTTATCAATTCAGATGCTATGTTAGTGGGCTTGGATAAAATTATTGAAAACCTTAGAATTGCTACATAATCATTCAATAGCATTGAAGTTTACATTCTCAGGTCGTTTAAGATCAACTCAGTTTCATAAATAAAATATTATTACAATAATTTGAAATTTAATAATTAAAATAATTTTTAATAGGTATCACAATAGCAAAATGGTGAACTATAACACACAAGATGGATTCCTTGTGACATCTAGTAATGACAATTTTCTTGCTCCGATTGACAACAATGCGCCCCACACTAATGGTAGACAGAAAATCGACAAGCAGCCGGCAAACGGAAGTTCTCATACAAATAAAAATAAAAATGATGTCACTACAAGTACAGATGACAAGAGATTAAGCAATATGAAACCTTACAGTAACAACAATGATGATAAGAGTAATCTTAGTAATTATAATAAAAACTATAATAACAACCATAGCGTAAATTATAATATTAACAACCATAGTACTATTAGCTATAATAATAACAACAACAATAATAACAATAATAATAATTTAAACAAAAATAGCAAATATCAATTTAATAAATTTGGAAGTAGTGATATAACAAACATAAACAGTAAAAGAAATAATTTAAATACTAAAAAACTATCATCAACAACAAAAAGCATACATTCATCACTTTATGTGTCAACATCAATTAGTAAATTAACCATACAGGAAGTCTATCTGCATCACGCGGGAAACTACACGTGCGCTCCATCAAACGCACGCTCAGCGAGCATATCAGTTCACGTATTAAGAGGTGAGACATCCAAAATTTTGAACTTGGATTTATATTTTGACTAAGTCTGAATTCCACTTTACCATATGTAGACCAGAGCTGTCCAAAGCACGGCCGACAGGCCCCATGCGGCCCGCGGCTAATATTTGTGCGGCCCGCGATGTGTCTAATCTACTACAATTAGGCAAATTTTTCTTTGTTATATTTTAGTAAAATTACATTATTGACAAATACTTTAGTATATATTTCTTTGTTCAAAGTTGTAATTAAACTAAATTTAACATTATCGTAGTATTTTTATTTTTCTCTGGAAAATTTATGAACGATATGTATTTACTTCTGTGGCCCTCCAACCTATTCAGTGGTTTGTATTCAGTGGTTTGTTTGTACCTATTCAGTGCCCGCGATCTTATCTGGTCTGGACAGCCCTGGTGTAGAGAAAAGCTTGTGTTATTTACCGAATCTAAAGCTAATATGCTTAACTAAAGTATTTATAATAGCTATGGAAAAGAGCTCCATATATATCAAATTGAAAGTATGATCTGCAGAATACTATTTTTGTTATATTCTTTCGTCCTAACTTTAAGAATTTTGCAGTTTCCTCTAGCATTTAGAGAGATAGGAAAATATGTCCATAAAAGTGGAATAAGCTTATACGCGAATCTGACACTATAGTGTTTAATAATTGTTTTTGCTTTAAAACATCCACATCTATAATTAATAATTAAATGATTCAAAATTTGTTCCAGTCATTCCCATAATTATATAATTAAGATAGTCATGTCGATCATATATGATATACATATATGATCATATACATATATGATGATTAATTACTTTTGATTTATATTTGACACATGAAAATAAATAATTTATTTTGCAAAAGATTCAACTTTATTAGTTAATAATAATGATTAAAATAATGATTAAGTTACTTTTTAACATTTACTTATATTTCTTATAAAATGGCTTATAAAAAACGTGTATTTAATTCATTCAATTAAAATATCATCGCTCTGAGCACCGTTTTGAGGTTAGTAGGAGAAGATAGTAATCGTTTATGGCCATATCTGGAGAATATGTTAAAAGGAGTAACATTTCAAACTACAATTAGAATAATTTGCCAATTGCTATCAACGAGTTCTGATATAATACCATGGAAGAGCTCTTTTTTCCTATCTATTTGAGAACGTATTTTTATAATTCCATCTTTCAGATGCCTTAATAATGTTATAGAATATTCGCCATAGCTGATTTCGCCCATTCCAAAGTAAAGAAGTTTATATTACATGCAATCCAAAAGTTATAGGATATAACATTTCTGGTCACCTTTGCATCATTAGACACTTTGATAGACTTCCACTGGTTGCAGTTCTTTCATACGAGTATGACTATTGATAAGTTTGCTAAGTAGACTCACAAATTTTTGCACACAAAAATATCAATATATTATTGGGTTTGAACGATAGTTAACAAACTTGGTTTTAATAATACATATTATATTTTATATTTATATTTATATATATCTTATAATACACATAAGCGTCTGCGACGGCTTTGCACCACAGGGGCCTTGCAAAAAGTTGTGCATATATCTTGAAACTTTAACTATAGTTACCAGAGAAAAAAAAGTTGTGCATATTTCTATATTTCTTGAAACCTTAACTATACTTACCAGAAAAGAAATAATTTTGGTTGTCACTTATCGATTTAATTTGGAGGAAGTATAGGTTATATACTAGATTAATGTTTATATAGTAACGAGACTCATGTCCCAGTCAGTATAGTTTCTGTTGCAATAAGTTTCTCAAAGTTAAAATTGAATAAGACCAAGTGAGACTATCTGCATAGGCAATTATATTAATTGAAGTGAAAATAGCAGCAAATTTAGTTGGTCTAAAAGTAGGAAAGTTTATTTTATTTTAATTTTTGTTTATTTTAATTTGATTAAAAATAAAACTTTTATACATGCTTCGTGGCATCAAAGGTGCCTCGCAATTCTGATGTCATCGACGTGCAGAATTGATGTAGCTCCGCCATTGATCTTAGACCCTTTGGCTGAGGCTGCTGAATTACTTCTAAATATTAATTTCTAGCTGTGCCATATATCTGCTTTTACATGGTATTTTCATTCTCGTATTTTATTGATAGCAATCCCATATATTTCTAAAGATTACTGACTGAAATAATTGAGTCAATAAAGTTTACTAGAAGGCTAATTCCGATTCTAAGACCTGAAGCCATATAAACCAATTTTTCATAATAACTTTTGATATATCACATCTAATATATATCTAATATATAAGACTATTTTATTTATTTATTCAATTTACAAACATTCTTTTTAAATTTCAGGTGAAAAACCAGCCGCAATGCAACATTTGAATCACAGCATTTTTGAAAATGAATGCAGCAACTGCAGTATTGTCACAACTTTTCGAATAAGCACGAATAAAGCGTCAACTGTTGATATTAAGAGAGCAAAATACGACATATTCTTTAACATAAGTTTAAGCACTTGTTTATTTAATATTTATTATAGTTATATTTATACTAATAAAAACATTAAATATTAAAAATATTTGTTTCATTTCATATAAAACAATATAAAAAAAGTGTCTACTTGTCCACACGAAATATGGTTTTTCTGAATACATATATAGTATGTATATTAATTTTTCTATTATTGCTGTAGATATTATCTCAGTTATGAAATTAGATAATGCAAATCCTGTGTGTACTCTAAAAGTGATAACAAAGATAAAAACGAAATAGATAAAAAATAATCACTTATGGTAATATCCCAAACAAAAACCAAATTATAATGAGAAATAGAGAGTAACTATTTTCTATTAGGGTTATAGTTATTATCTCAGTTATGAAATTAGATAATGCAAATCCTGTGTGTAGTCTAAAAGTGATAACAAAGATAAAAACGAAATAGATAAAATATAATCACTTATGGTTATATCTCAAACAAAAACCAAATTATAATGAGAAATAGAGAGTAACTATTTTCTATTAGGGTTATAGATATTATCTCAGTTATAAAGTCAATCTAAAACTTATAATAAACATTTACTAGAAAAGATCAATATAAATCACTTATTCTTTTTTTTCTAACAGAAACTAAATTATACTGAGAAATAGACAGTAATTATCAATTCTCTATTAAAGCTATAGATATTAGCTCAGTTAGAAAGTTAGATGATGCAAATCTTATGTGTAATCTAAAACTTATAACAAAGATATAAACAAAATAAATAAAATGTTACTTATAAAGAGATCATATGAAAACGCTACAAGCTTATCATTATTAGCATTTTGGTTTATCCTTAAATGCCGTGTATAGCGTAACGTGATATTACGAAATTTATTAGATGAAACCATGATTTTTGTTATGGTTCTTATGTCGATTGGCGCTTAATAAACTTAGTTTACTAACTGAGGAATACTAAACACTTGGATTTAAGTTATCTATTATGCTAGCAATATGTGCTATTTTGTATAGAACAATTGAATGACAAGAGCAATAGAACAGTTTTTGCTAAAAAAATTTCATATTAAAAGAAAGATGTAAGTGTTTGTCAACAACTGTTTACGTAGAATTCTGAAAATGTGGTGGCCAGATCGAATATCAAATAAACGCCTACTAAACCAAACGACTCAAAAAGTAATACAAAATTAGATAGAAATGAGAAAGTGAAAGTGGATAGGTCATACGCTTAGACAACCGAGAGATTACATAGAGAGGCAAGCGTTAGCATAGAATCCACAAAGTAGCAGAAGACCTGGTGCTCCAGCGATAATGTGAAGAAGAACGATAGAAAGAGAGCTAGCTAAAACACGATATACATGAAACTACATCTACGAAAAAGCACCAAATGAAGTCATATTTAGAAAAATTATCAAAACCCTATGCCCCACTGAGGAAAATGGACAATAGTCAATTTAGATATGACAAACACCTCTATATTTTATTGCAAATGTTACCCGACTTGGATAGGTGCTGTTGGATGCTATTATCTATTTCAGTTCAGTTTAAATTAAATATGTTTTATTTTAAAATTGGGCATAACATAATTTTATAAATTGGTCTCCATATTATTACAATTTCAATGTGTTTTTTATGTCATTAAAGAAATTAAACACCTTTTAAATTTGTTACTCGACACACACGGAGAATGTAGCACACCTCTATAGAAGAGTGATTAGTAAAAATCAGTGCAATATGTAAAACGGAACCAAAAACAAGAAGAATGGATGTAGAGTTTATTAATTGTAGCTAAAACATGATATCAAATTCCTTGTGAAATATTGCAATATATATATTTCTCAAATATATAAAAAATTTTATACCATACACATTTATATATATATATATATATATAAATATATATAAACTTACGCTGTATGTTTGTTGTATTTGTTTTTGTTATGTAAATAAAATCAATTCATAATGGTTAGATGTAAATGAAATAGTCTTAAGATCAAGTTAACTAATCATTAAAATATTATAAAAATTGTTGTAATTATCTTTTTAGAGTTCTTGTTCTGATGATGGCTCTCAAGGAGAGCTGACTTGAAGCCGGTCATAAAAAAAGTCATAAAAAAAAGTCATAAAAAAACGAAATTAAACACCTATAAGTAGTAGTAGTATGTAAGTTTTTTTATTTACAATTATTAAAATATAACATATTAGCAGCAATGTTAACATTTAACTAATTTTTCATTTTAATAATGTGTAACTTGTGAACCACAGATTATTTAAGACAATAACTATTAAATAGTCCATCTTAATTACAGGTATATAAGTTAAACCAAAACTTGCTAGTTCAAGAAAGAACTGATAAACATGTTGTTGTTGTTGTAATTCGCAGGGATATATAAAGTAGATAACATGAAGAGAATTACAAAATACTCTTGGGTTAGGATGTAGATGGGTTTCGGTAACTGCAGAACATTGCAGCAGCCAATGCTTTATTTTACAAGTTTTCTACAGGAGTTTATGCAAAAAACATTAATATTGAAAAGCAAAATTGATTTTGTTTGTTTTTTTAATTTTTGTATTTATGGTTGAATTATTTTATTTAATATATAAAAGCATAAGTATAATATGTATTGCTTAAAATTTTTTACATAAAAAAAAAACAAAAATGAACTTTTAAGATTACAGGGTTAATTAATTAATAATTACATAAATTTAACATAACGACTATTTATTTGAATATATAATTTTATATTCTACATAATATAAAGCAAAACGTCACTTAAAATATAAAGGAAATTAAAATATTTAAAAACAAAAATATATAAATTACAAAAAAAAAAAACAAATAAATAAATAATAATAAAAATAAACAAAAATTAATAATATAAAAATATTTATATTAAAAATTAATAATATAAAAATATTTATATTATAAAAAAAAATATATATATATAATGCTAATACAAGTGAACAATATATGAAATATCAGAGGAATTTATTTAAAATATTTGAAAAAGAAAAATTATTTAAGAAAAAAGAATTTTAATTAGTACAAATATGGTCTTTCTTGGCTTTAACATACATAAATATATAAATATAATAGCTGATTATTTAGCACTGCCTAAAAATAATTTGATATAACTAACGAATCATAAATAGTATATAAGTGATTTGTTTTAAATATACAATCTATATGTTTATATAACACAAATAATAAAAACAAATAATAATAAAATAAAATAGTATCAAATTCTATTGCATTAAGTTGAATTCATCTTATATTAGCAGGTAAATAATCGCAAATTATTTTGTATTTTCTATTACTTGTATAATACTTAAAAGTAGATTTTGAGTACGACTTAATTGTAAAGAACACCACGTTTTCTTCTAACTTCTTAAAAGCAACAGATACAAATAAAAATAATCATTAAACAGTTCTCAGTTTAAGTTTTTGTTGTATTTTGAAATAGTTCGGTGTTGTTATTGTGAATGACTTATATTTTTAACTTAAGCAGCTTTAAAAGCTAGGAAGCTTCACATTAAGCAGTGTAATTTGATGTTTAAAATTAAAAAGATTATAAAATTTCAGCTTATATCTAAAAATAATTTCTGACACAAGAAATACTATAAAAGCAAGAAAATTTATAATAGAATAAAATAATAGAATAGAATAAAATAGAGTTTAAAATTACAACAATTCAATATAAAGCTTTGTAGATGACAATTGAATGCATGTATCCATGCATACAAGACATTTATTATTTTAACAGTTTAATAAACACTCCTAAACAATTTTAATTATTTATACATACATATATATATATATTTTATTAGTTATCTATGTTATCTATATATTTAACAATTTTTAAAAAGGTTCGCAGTTGATGCAACTAATGGAAGGCAGAAGATTTAGAAAGCTCGTTGCTGTTAATAATGTCCATATATGTTTTATCACATATATGTATATATTTTGTTAATATTTATTTTATTTATAATTTTTGGATACTTTTTAGCTGCTTAAGTTTTATTTTAAATTAATTTTTAAAAATATATCCAAAATTATGACAACTTTAAGACAACAGGTGTACTCGTAAGCGCTTATCTGTCTTTATGACTTTGGAGGCTTATTGTACTTCACTGTCCGTATCACTTTTATCTGCAAAAGAAAATTATTAATTATTAAAAATTTTATGTAGTTGCATTTATATAAATTTATATGTAAAAGTTTTTCTTATTAATAATTTAAAACCAATGCGCTACTAGATGTTAAAAATAATAACGATGAACATAAAAATTAATAAGTATTATATATTAACAAAATATATTTAATTTTAAATTTAATTTCAAAAAATAAATGAATAAAATGTGTTTGTTATATTATCATGTTTTACTACCAAACAAAAGATTAATAATATGATAATTAAACTTTTTTTTTTTTAATATATATAATTGTTTTTATGAGCTTATTAAAAATATATACTAGAGAAACCCAATAAAATCTCAGAATATACGTACAATACGAAAACATGGAGACTAAATTAATGACATATTATAATAATAATTGAAAATAGATGGTATAAGACTTATGGTTTATAAATGTATAGATAAAAAGTAACAGTGACTACCTTCTAAAAAAACTGGTATCACTTTTGCAGTGCCTCTTCCTTTGTGGGGGAGCTCCTTACGGTTTATTACTTTTTAACTTCTATTATTCAAAGTTATTTACAAACGTTATTTCCAAAATAAAATTTATTATTTGTCGATTTATTTATATGTGTATCAAGCTTAGTTACAAATCTTAAGACTAACTTATATTAAAGCCGGGAAGACGAACAAATCCAGGTATTTTAATGATTTTCTTTACCTTTTTTGCCAGTATAGGCATGTCGTTTCAGTCGATCGTATAAGTCTTCTTTAGTTCCATAAAGTGATGCATTCGATCTAGGCAGTGTGCTCATTTTTAAAGTGTTACCTATGAATGTAATAAATAAAATATTTTAATAAATAATATTATTTTAATAAATAATAAATAAAATGCGTGTATTTAGAGGAGTATTAAATTGTAAAGTATTAAAGTATTAAATTTTTTTTTGTTGTACATTTTAAGCAAATTAATTAGTTTTCTAAAAATTAATTATTAATTTCTAAATATCTCGAATGTTCGAATGTATAAATGTCAGAAACATTTACTGTGTTTCTATCTGTTCTTGTAATTTGTTGGAGATATCTGATACAAAGCGACGATCTCTTTGTCCCTGATATTGGAGTAAACTATTTTCTAAATTTCACAAATGATGTATATACTTTAAGCAATGTCATTGACAGATTCATTCAGCCCGCTATAACTACTTATCTAACAAATTTAGTAAATTCATTAATATCAATCGTACTTTTATGTGATAGTTATAGGCGTAGCTAAAGAGAGGATATGCGCAGGGCCACCTCTCTTCGTTGTTGTAGAAACATTTCATTATGACAAATGGGCCTATTGGGAAATGCTTTGAATATGGCAAATGTAATAAAAAAAAACGTAAATTCAAATTTGATTGACTGATTAATAAATATATTCTATTCCAACGATTTTTACAGTGTAGAATATAACTAGTCCTGCGAAATCCAAAGTTTATTTCTAAAAATTCTATACACTTAACTTTATTAACCTTATATTAGATTTAGGATCTAGTGCGCATTATAATAACACAATACAAATATAATACAAAGATTTACATTAATCATTTTTATCGATATTTATAAACATATATATTATATATAATATAATATTATAGACATATATGTCATTGCCGCACTTTAAAATTTAGGTAAAAGATATAAGAATGCATTTTAAATTACACTTACCATCTTTCATGTAGGTTTCATTATAAAAGTTTGGCATTTCCCATCCATCTTCTTCATCATCATAGTAGTGTGCATATGTGCTATGATGAGACGGTGCTATCGATTCAGCGTAAGGTGTATGCGCACCGTAATAGAAGTTTACTTGTGAACCAGTCTGATCAATAGCGGGTGTTAACATTTTCTTGGGATCACGTCGTTTTGTGGAACGCACGCATATCATCCATATGAGAAGTACAATTATAATAATGAATATAACAGCACCTGCAATGCCACCAGCGATATAGGCAAATTCTGAACGCTCAGCACAGTATGGTCCTGTAAAAGAGCCTACGCAACGGCAAGATGGCGTGCCTTTAAGATCTTTGACACATGTGCCTGAGTTTTCACAATATCCATTGCAAACATCAATACACTCCATGCCAGTTCCATTAAAACCAGGTTTACATTCACATTTAAAGTCTGACGTCTCTGGCACAAGTATGCAGTATGCATTTGGATCACAGTGTGGTTTGCCTTCAGCAATATGTTCGCAGGGATTTGTGCATTCTGACTGAGATGTTGCGCCAGTGATTTTTGTGCTGTGATTCGGTGGGCACTGAATGCAGGATGTTTGTTGTGATTCCGGTTGATAGAAACTTTTAGCGCATTCAACGCACATATTAAGTGTGCCATTAAGGTAAGTGCCAGGTGAACAGACAGGTAACGTACATTCCTCTACTGAACTGGCGCCTACTTTTGGTGTAGTACGTCCAATTGGACAACCGGCGCAGGAAGGTTGCACGCCTTGTGAACGATAAGTGCCACGAGGACAAGGTTCACAACGACCATCAACACCAAGTTGCATACCTGAGCTGCATTCATCACGACATTCTTTTCGTGATGTTGCTTCACTTGAGCGTGTTGTTTGTCCAAGACCGCAGAGTTCGCAACTAAAGGAACCTTCATTTGATTGATAGAATCCATGACCGCAAGGTCTGCACAAACCTGTATCAGAATCAAAGTATTTGCCTGCAGGACAGCGTTCTTTACAATCTGCTGCTGAACGTGCACCTGGACCAGCTGTTACACCAGGTCGACCCGCAATGACAGGACATTTACTGCATTGTAATTGTCCAGTTTCTGATTGATAGGTACCACGTTCGCAAGCAGCACAGGTTTGGTTGGCTGTATTATAATAGGTTCCGATAGCACAAGGTACACAATCAGGTTCCATAACAACTTGACCAGTTGGACAAGCATACTTTGGACTTAATTCAAGCGATGCTGGATCATGTTCTGTATTTGGTAAAATGTCATGTACTACGAATTTTCCATCTTCAAGTATGTGTTTCTCTAATAACGCCTGAACAGTTGAACGTTCACCAGTAGTTGAGTGAATTACAGGGTCACTAAAATATTAGTTTTAAGATATAATTTGTTGAAGTTTTAATTTGTTGTAATTTTTATTGAATGCAGTTTTATAATGAACTTACTTGGCTGCTTGGAACACAACTTCAACTTTGTACGAATCACCTCCACTTGTCTGTTGACGTCCCTGACGCGTATTTTCGCTTATTGCATCGTCGTTTTCACATTCTTGACCTTCGCATTCACTATAAATTGAACAAAAATTAATATACAATGTTATTAATAAAATCATGTCACATTTTAAGCAATTTTCAATCAGGCAAGTAGTTTCTTAAAAAACTATTCTCATAATGTGTCTGTTTGTAATAATAATTGAATATATAATTAAAGTACAAAGTTTACTAACTTATCACTGAAATTATCAGTCTGACGACGGAATCGCTTAGTTTGACCAGGACGATGGTGATCACATTTTACATCTACTTCAATATCCTTGCATTCTCTATGAAAACAATTACATATTGGTTATATTTGACTAGCTTTAAAATATATTGTATTCTACCTTGTGCCTTCCACCGAGTTCGAACATAAATTCCAATCTCTATTCAAAGCATTAAGAGAATTCGTAACTTTTTGCCGCAAAACTGCTTGTCCAGCCTTATTGCAAAGCACATCTGATGGGAAGACCATTTTTATTCTGAACACACGCTGAGCTGGTTTCGATGCTAAAATATAAAAAGTAAAATAACATATTATTTACTATTTGTACTTTTTGTCGACAAAATTTTTTTCCTTTTTAAGTTAATATTAGTTGATAGTTGAAACTTACGTGAGCAAGCAGGGTAGACCAATGGCATGGAAGGTTCACGTGTTGGACGCCAAAATCCTTCAGCACCACATGTATAAAATTCTGGTACTTCTTCTGAGAATCGCAAGCCAGCATTACAAGCTATTTCACAAACCTTAAACTGTCCGCCTGCACCCCAGTCTTTACACACTTGAGAACCGCCAATTGGGTCTGCTAATGGTTGACAAAACTCGGCTGTAATGTACAAACAATTGATAAAAAATGCTTAGCTATTTTCTTATGTAAAGAGGAAAAAATGTTTATAGAATAACTTACTTAACAAAGAAACTTTGAAGCTGCACGAAGCAGTATTGCCTGCTGCATCTGATGCAATGTATGTAATATCATAGGAACCCCATAAAAGCGTTGTACCGGGTCTATGTCCATTACGCTCTACAATTTTCGTTACACCAACATTGTCACTGAAGTGTGGTTCATCCCAGTTAACTACAGCAGAGCCATTCTTAGCTATAACCCACAAATCTCCAGGACAGTGTTCAACTACAGGTGCCTCTTTGTCAACTAATAACTGCTGACAATTTGGTCCACTATACCCGTTTAAGCATTTGCTTTGTCCGCACATTGATGGCACATTACGTTCAACACCACCTGAAGTAATTTCATATCCAGCCCAATTAAGAATTAGACCTTGATAAAGTACAGGTTCTGATCGGCAATCGCGTACTTGTTTCTGAATTTCAGAAGTGATATCTAAAGCACGTCCCCAAATCTGTGCTTTTGTTATAGTACCTTGGAAACCAGTTTCTGGATATGCAACAGCATGATTAGTATCATCTGGTTGTGGACGTCCAAGCACAGCCCAAGCAAATTGTGGGAGTGTTTTGCCTACCGCATATTCTGCTTTACTAGCGATCAAACCTTCTGTTATCAATTTCAACTGCCCGCTAATACCATCCCAAACAATAGCTACATGATGCCATTGCCCATCATTGACGGATGTGTACTCACCGAAGGATAAGAAAATATCTTGCTGATCTGCGAAAAGTGACACCTGTACTCCACTAGAATGTGCTTGTATCATCATCCGACGATGACTGGCAATATGAGCTGATTTTACTCCATACAATGTAAAGAAGATTCCAGTGTCGTCTTTTTGTGCAAATTGTACCCACATAGCTATAGTTAAACTATTGGATTCACTAGTATAGAACGGTACAACTTGAGCCGCTGTTGATCGTGAAGCATCACTAAAGTACAAATCGTAATCTACTTGTATAGTTTTACGGCAGTCATCGCCAGTCATATTAAAACCACATTGACAGTAAAAGCTATTTGTTAGATCGATACATGTTGACCCAGGTGGGCAAGAATTATCTTTACAATCTATTATATCCTCTTCACAATTTTTGCCCTTATAACCCTTTGGACAGACACATGTGTAGCCACTGCCATTATCAATGCATGTAGCACCATTTTGACAAATATCTGCATCACAAGCATCGAATTCATATTGACATCCAATGCCAGAGTAGTCTTCTGGACAAGTACAGTTCAAACCAGATCCATAGTCTTGACATTTACCGCCATGCATGCATGGATTACCAATGCAACGTTCGGGAGCAGTTTCACAATTCTTACCATCTGTACCACTTGGACAGACACAGAAGTAATCCTCAAATAAGTCAATACAATTAGCATCATTTTGACATGGTGCTTGCACGTTACAAGTTGTTATTTGTTGTTCGCAACGCATTCCGCTCCAGCCAGTTGCACAAAGACATTCAAAACCGCCAACACGGTCTCGACATTGTGCACCATTCATACATGGACTTGTCATGCAGTCGTCAATGTCACTTTCACAGAGTGCGCCTGTGAAGCCATCACGGCAAACACATTCAAATTTGTTGTCTAAATCTAAGCAACGTTCAGTACCGACGGGATTACAAGGATCACTTAAACATTCATCAATTTCAGCCTCGCAACTAAGTCCTACAAATCCAGGACGACACTTGCAAGTAAAACCGTCGAGTTGATCCACACAAGTTGCACCGTTTTGACAAGGATTAGATTCACAATCATCTATTGTATGTTGACATTTCTTACCAGTATAACCTGGCTCACATGCACAACTGTATCCATCAACTAAGTCAACACATGTCCCATCATTTGCACATGGATTATCTTTACAATCATCAATATTAATATCACAAGATTCACCTGTCCAACCAGGATGACAAACACATTCATGAACATAAAATTTGTCCACACAAGTGCCATGCTTGCATGGTTCAGAAAGACACAAGTTAATTTTCTCTTCACAACGTTTTCCAGTAAATCCAGGTGGACAAGAACATTGGAAGTCATTAACCAAATCGGTACAATTGGCACCTAATAAGCAAGGATTTTCTGCGCAGTCATCTATATTTTTCTCACAATGCATACCTTCCCAACCAGGAAGACAATCACATTTATAACGACCTTGCTGTAAAGCTAAGCAGCTAGCGCCATTTGAACAAGGATTTCCATTGGCTGTACATGGGTCAATTGTAGCATCACATTCACTACCAGTATAACCACTTCTACACAAACAAGTGAAGTTCTTGTAACCTGGTTCATTTTTGCACATAGCTCGCGCTGGACAGGTCTCGTTGCTGCAATCGCTAACTTCCTCTTGACAATTAATACCAGAGTAACCAGCAGGGCATTCGCAGCGATAACCTTGCGGCAGATCAGTACATGAGCCACCGTTGTAACATGGTTGAGAGGCGCACTCATCAATATCAATTTCACAACGTCTGCCTGAAAAACCAGCCGGGCAGAAACATTGTACTCCGTGTCCCATTGGTACGCACAATCCACCATGTTGACAAGCACCGTCTCCACAAACAACTGGTTTGCACTCTTCACGACCTTTACCACCTGGTCCATCAGTTCGCATGTTTGTAGGACATTCGTTACAAGTTTGTGATCCAGCCACGCTTTGATAATAATTTACAGGACAGGGTGAGCAGGGTGCAAGTCCAGTAGAAGAGTAGAATCCAGGTGCACATTTTTGGCGACATAATTCTTTAGTAGCAGTGGCGGGCTGGAAGGTAAAAGTATTTTGTGGGCAAGCTTGGCAATCCTTGAAACCACCTGTGGGTGGATCAGCAGTAAACGAGTTGCGCGGACATTCCAAACATGGTACCAATCCGGTTGGTGAATATGTACCATAGCCACAAACAGGTATGCAATCTGACAATGCTTTCGAACCTTCTTCCTTGGTATAAGTACCAGCAGGACAACGTAAACAAGTGCCTTGACGATCGCGATTTTGATAATAACCACGCGGACAATACGTACAAACACTTTGACCGACACTTACATAAGTACCTGCAGGACAATGCAAGCATCGTGGTACATCACTGGTATCCATATTAAGTACTTCTCCTACACTACAAGTAAATCCTCTGGAAATATTGCTTTTTAAAGCTCTTAATGGTGGACATTGGTTGCCTATGCTAGAGATGTTGAGTAATGAATCGATTACCGCACTGGCATATGGAACACTTAAATCGAAGATTAAATTAAGTGTTGAACCACAAAGATCGTAGAGTCGTGGCTCTCGCACTCCTGGCAAAATAGAAAGTATGAAATCCATTTTAACAACATTTTCTTCTAAGAGAGCGGGTACTGATCGGACAAAAGATACATTCATATTAACGTTAACAGCAGAGCAACGTTGTGAAAGCACACGATTTACGCTATCATAATGCTGACTTAGTAAATCTTGATATTGTGTGAGACACGATTGAGCTACAGCACCATTAGCACGATAAGTAACAGTAGCAGTTACAAGATAATCAGCTTGTTCAGTATTCTCAGAAACACAATCAGGTACAACTGATGTAGGCTTCCATAGCCTTGAAGTTTCACAAGAAAACGATTTCACAGGCTCACCATCAGTAAATCGAAAACCTGATTTACAGGTAGCAATACACTCAATACCACGATCACCACGCAAACATTTTATAGCACCATTAGCAGGTGGTTGTAATTCCCAGTCTACACAAGGAGAAGCTTGTACTGAAACTTGGAAGTGACAGTAGGCACGATTGTTGAATTTATCTATCGCTGTTACTGTTACATTTTCAAATCCGCCAATCGGTATAACAGCATTTTCTGGAGTATATGTTATACGTACTTCACCGGAATCATCCGAAGTTTTAATACGATTGCGTGTATCGTTAAAATTAGCATTATAGCTTTCTTGCCTATCGACCAATTCAATCACATAACTTTGAGGACATTGCAGCAGTGGAGGCGTCACATCGGGTACTGTTATATTTATTTCACAAATGGCTACATTACCATCATAATCAAATGCTACATATTTGACAACTGTATCTTTGAACACAAACGATGGTGTCTTGAAGTTCTGAGGTTTCACTTCTAAACGAGCAATGGAACCAGAATTATCAACTGCAGTAGGTTCTGTAAAGTTGACTGGCAATACTGCACCGTTTTCATTACGTTTCACAATTATAGGTTGTTGTGGACAATTTTGGAATATTGGTGGTTCATTATCCACACAAGGTGAATAACCATAATCATATCCTAGCAATGGTTCTTTTTTAGGTTCTTCACAGCCCATTAATTCGAATTTCAAGCAAGCATTGTCCATATAACTTACAATGCCCAAAATCACAAATCGCGCTTGAACATATTTTGGCAGGGTAATCATTGCTAACTCGCCATAGTTTCCTGGATCCCGCATAGTTAGATTAAAGTTTGGATAGTAAACAACATAATTATCACTCTCCGTTTGCTTATAGAAGAAACGAATTTCAGTAGGACGTCCTACGATATCATTGGTAACCACTCCTTTAACAAGGATAGCTTTAACACGGTGTAGTTGGCCGAGATCAACGCTGACATATGTAAATGCTTCTTGCTTTCCACACCAACCTGTGGCAGAATTCAAACGGATATTTCTAGCTTCATAGTTCGGTCGTTCGGATGTCGCATTAATGGCAGAGTCTGGTATTTTGCCAGAAGTTAAACCTAAAGGTTTAATAACTTTACATTCAGGCTCTCTGATACAAGTGATAGGCCGAGGATTAATAAGTATGTAACCAGGTCGGTTACATCCAAAGTATACTTCTGAACTTTGCTCATAGCTTCGTGCTATTTGTCTACCATCACTAGGACGACCTGGATCATCACAAACTGGTCCTTCACATCTCAAATCACCAAAATCCCAGATACCATCAGCTTGGCATCGAACTACATTATCATGACGTGCTGTTTCTCCAGCAAGTTTAAATGTGTGCTGACAACCAAAGAAAAATGAACTTTGATAACGTGTGTCAACAAATTGACCATATTCAGCGCCTGGTGTTGGCATAGGTTGATAACAGTCGATACGTGGGCAGCTTGGTTGAGAGCCAGATAGCCAATAGTCAGGTAGACCAGGTTTCGGATCATAAACACATTGCCGGAAACCAGCAGAAGCAGAACCTTTGAGGTGGCGCCCAGCAGAGTTGCAAGCTACGGTAACATTATCTCTAAACGGCACAAGCACTGATTCAGGATCTGGTCGCACAACAGTGAGCCCTTCTAATTTATCATCAGGAAGAGAAACGCATTTAGCATCTGAAATTAAAATAGAAATTTTACTAATACATTTTACTGTTTTTTAATTACTGTATCTACTTACAATTGCATTCAGGCACTGTTGCATTCCATTGTCCATTTGACAAGCAAAGCAATGCAGAACTACCGGACATGATATAACCGAAATTACATTGGAATCTTACAACATCGCCAAAGTGATGATCGTATTTATCGGAAAGTAATTTGCCATTTTCAGGTTCGAGAAGTTGTGGGCACATAAGTGGTACACAAGTTTTGTTGCGGCGATATGTGTCACCATCGCGTTCACCAGTTTCAGTTTTTTCAATACTAAAGCCGGCAGTGCCGTTTACTGTATATAACTGATAACCAGTGTTACAAGCGCAACTGTAACTACCAGGCGAGTTAATACATTTTTGATGGCATCCTCCATTATTTTTGGAGCACTCGTTTATGTCTACACAATCTAAACGAGTGCAACCCATTAGCTCCATGCGTAAACAGGGTGCACCCACATAATCTTGTATACTTAAACGTATGAAACGTGCTTCGATTGGCATAGGTAAGTTAAGTATAGATAAAGTAGGTTCCAAAATTCGGAACTCAACCGTAGTGCCATCAGGGTTCGTATAATCTTTAAAAACATCGGTCAACTCATTTGTGTATTGCAAGCGTACTGCAGAGGTGAAAGCTATATTTCCATCTAAACGTTCAACTGACATTGTGCGAAAACCACGTAATATAGTTGGAGCTTTAAGGTCAATTAAAATCCAATTTGCACCTGGTTCAGTAGAAGCGCCACACCAACCGACAGAGTTAAGTCGTATCATACCTTTTGTGTAACTTTCCTCATTACCAGATGTGCTAATACTCTCATCTGGTATGCCACCATTAGCAAGTCCCAAATCACCTACTGGTCGACATTCCGTTGTAGGAGCAAATCCAGATCGACACTGGCAATGAAAAGAACCATTTGTATTCATACATTCAGTCGTCGCTAAATCGCATTGTGTGGAAGTACATTCATTAATATCTTCGCAAGTAGGGGGATTTTCGAATTCTTGCTCAGTATTACAACGTATAATGTTACTGCCAATTAATTTATAACCTTTGAAGCACTGCACACGTGCATCATCGCCATAATAGTATGACCGCGCAGCATCAACTACAAAACCATTTTCAATCTTTGGATATTCATAGCAACGTTTTCTTGAGCAACGTGGTACATCGCCACTCCAAGTTCCATTTGACATGCATATTAAAACTGGATGACCAGTACGTTCATAGCCGGATTCACATTCATAATTTACAATTGTGCCGTAACTTCGTCCACCACCGTTTAAAAGTGTAACATTGGCATGCGGTACTTCTGGCAAAGGAGCGCATTGTGAAGCCATACAAGTAGGTTTCCGTTCCCAACGGCCATCTGGTAAACACGAAATTTTCTCGATAGGTTCACTCGAAGCAAAAGCAAAACCAGCGTAACATTGATACATGGCAATTCCACGATATGTTACATTCGACGACCCAATAGAAAATCCATTATCAATTTGTGGTACGGGACCGCAATAAACCTCTGAGCGAAATAAATGTAGTTGTTTTTAATAAAATTATATATAAAATATTGTACAATTAACTAACCTTGACACTTAGGTATATAAGATACACTCCAATTGCCACCTTTCATGCACTCTGTTTGTATAATCGTTTTTCCAGTAGCAAATTCCTGTCCAATGGGGCATGTAAATGTAACTACAGTACCAAATGCTGTGTCACGACTTGAAGCTAAAGCACCAATGCCAGGTTTAAGTTCCGGACAATCGGAGGAAAATGTTGCAGTCCAACTAAAAGCAAGTTCAAATAGCATACATTTGATTTTAACCATACGTGTAATATTGTAATATTTAACTTACCCAGGAGCACTGTGTAGTGCATCAGAATTAAATTTAATGAGCATCTCTCCGGATGAAGCAGTCAAAGTTAGTTTTGGAACTGCTGTACCTGTGAACCCATTGCCAGAGTGTAAACGCAAGCCAGAAGTAGATGAACCATCATAAACTTGTACAAAATCACTTTTATGCACCACAAATTTATCAAATTTCAAAGACAACGGTGTGCCCAGACTGTTACGTATTGTGAAAAAACATTCCTGATTTTTAGGGTAATCACCAAGTCCATAAGCAGGTGAGGTCACAGTACCATTGCGTGCAGTAATTGTAGCTTTACAGCCTTGTATATAACGCAAACTAAATCCTTTGCCAGAATCACCCAAGCTCGATTTAAAGTACAAATACAATGAATTTCCTGTTGATATTATAACTTTTTTATTATTATTGGTGCCACCAGTAAGTCTTGCAATTGGACGGCTCATAGGCGATTCACCATCACGTATAAGCATATAATCACGGCCCTCTAGTATATCTAAATCATCAACTTCAACAGAAATTATGCGTCCGTTTTGTGCTTTAATTATATAAAGGCACTCTAAGCCACCCGGATACTTTTTAGGATAATTTGGACTAGTTAATATTTGGCGTTGCAAAGTAGCTGTTAAAGTGCCGCCACAACTATTTGGTTCCGTTTTCCATGTAGCACGAAAACCTTTACGTTCTACACTACCATCGGTAGTAAACTTAACAATCATGAAATTGGAAGCAGATACAAGTGGTTGTGTAGTTAAATCCAATTTTCCACTCAGAGTAGCTAAAGACACTGATTTATCTTCAGTACGTCCACCAACCAAAATTTGTACAGTATCAAAAGTTTTTTCAGTTTCAAAATCTTGGAACTGCAGTATTATGTTACTACCCAAGGGACCTTCTAAAGTCCACTTACATTTACTCAAAGCAGCATATTTGTGTGGATAGTTTGGTGATTCAATAACATCACCACCCGATTGCATATGATAATGGCATTGTGCTGGGCAATCAAGTTCATCGGAGCCATCGCCACAGTCATCAGATCCATCACATTTAAATGCCTGGTTCACACACAAACCATTTGCGCAATGAATTGAATTTTGTGGACACGCAGGCGCACGACACATAAACGGAAGCAAGCTTTCGCAAGTACCCAAACCCCAGGATTGCAATTTTGAAGCAAATGTTGCTGCAACGCATTCACCTGACATCGGATCTGGTTGATGTAATGACCAAAAGCCCGAGTACTGAGAAACAAGTGCACCCGATGCAGACTCCAAAGTATTTGTACGCAAATCATCCAGTGATGCCAAACCCAACCAATATTTGTCCGAAGCACGGCGGTTGGGATCGCTCGATGTCGCAATTGTGAGTGTATCGTTATTTTCCGCGTAAGAGTCAATCACAACCAATTCGGCACCATATCTAAACGATAAGAAGAAATTGATATATTATAGCTCACAAATTTTTAGTATATTTAATTTACGTGTGAACATTTTTATAATTCAAAAATTAATATAAAGTGTAAAACTCATTTCCCGCGTCTATCGTAAATTGTAAATTTGTTATATAATTAAATTTAATAATGATAAATAAATTTAACTTTTGCAAATAGAAATATGAAAATTTTTATTCCCATATTTCACGCATGTGAATTAAAATTTTTATTGTTATAATAACAATTGTCATTAATAAAGTTCAATGAATATTATTTAAATTATTTTCCCAGGAAGAGAGAAGAAATTAAAATAGTTGTAGAAAACTAAACGCAATAATAATTTCAGTTCAGTTTTCAGTGAGGCAGTCTTAAATGAATAGAAAATCAGACGGAGGTTTAATAAATGTTTACGTCTTTATTGAAAAAAAGGTGCAGATGGATTCAAAGATTTTGAAATGGCATTCTTCACTAAATTGTTACTCACTACATGAGTCAATTTTCAAATGATCAGCTTTTCGATGAGTTCTATTTTACTATATATATTTACTATTTCAAGAGCATTATTACGATTAGTTTCGGTAATTGGAAAACATTATATATGATGAAGTCTGGGAAATATAGTACTTATTTTAAAATATTTATCGAGTAATAAATGTTTAATTGCATTATGTTGTGTATGATAATTCGTTATTCTGATAGGAACTTACAAACTATAGTTTCATAATGCTTGGTTTTGATCGAGCGATTAAAATACACAAAGCTCTCTGTTGACCAAGTGACTAAAAGCGAATTCGATCTTAAATAGCGAATTCATGTCGCCATGCTCGGTCCAAATCTTTTTTATCAAAAACATGTCCTACATTTTATATATCCATTTGAGATAGACACTTTCACTACGAAACGTACAAATAATATTCTTTTCGACTGTCTGGACTTGCTTTATTTATTTTAAATAAACAATGCTACAAAATTTGAAGACAAATATCAGTGGTGCCTTAATTTGTGACCGACTTTAATGTAGATTTTTGAGTTTTAACATATTTGCTAAGCAACATTCGAATGCCTGAAAAATTCATTCAAGTCTTCGAATCCATAGATTTTGTTTCAAAGTTAGTCTAGGAATGCTTTAAACTTCCTAATACTCTAGCATCAAGGAACTATATTACTGTAATGTAGGTACCGGGACATGAAGGGCATACTTTCATAACTTCACAAATAACTTATTATGTGAACAGGAGAAACAAAACATTGAACATTGGAGACCACAAACAGAGATGTGGTAGTCAAGATTCATTGATCCTGAACACATCAAAGTTGATGATATCCTTAACCCTAGCAGAAACGATATTAAACTCTACTCTGAACTTCTTACAGGTCACTGTAGACACAATTACCACATCAAGATTATAGGTGCGGTAGAAAGCGATTCCGGTCGATTCTATGGAACTACCCATCGGCGCCAAGAAGTAGACTTATGTAGCTTGAAAGCGGGTCCTTATCCCAAATCAAATAGTAAAAGTTAAGCCAACAGCAATTACGATATTTATAAATAGCCTAGAATTATTTTAGTTGGGTCTTTAGGCGCATAATAGATCTTTTAGATCGGGGTGCATTCATAGCCTATTAATTAATTATAAATAGTCATTTTGTTACATAAATGTTTTGTCAATTGAAAAATCAAACTAATAGCTTTGAGTTATTTATTTTATTTTTTACATAAGATTCAGTAGCTTCAAACGGATATGTGACTTACGCTCTTATTCAACTGATCCGATAGATTTTTTATTTCTCTAACGTTTGCATATTTGTCTGTATTGTATATCGAAGGATGTTCAGAGAAACATTACTTTTTCATCTCTGTATGTCACCACGCCTGCGTCTATGATTTTAACAAGCATGAAAGAACTTGGAATTATTGCATCATTTTGAGTGTATTTTTTGGAAAAATAATAAAATTAATAAAATTGATTACCATCAATTAATGTGGACTTTCTCATTTTGCAGACAATGCCAATTTCATCATAGTCTAACCATAGCTTTAAGTAACTAGTAACCCAAAGGTGGTATAACTTATATATAACTTGACAAATATATCAAATCTAAAAATATTAAGTCAGCGTTTAAAGAGATATCATAGAACTTGACAAATAATTGAAAATTTTTTATTATTAATGAATAAACTTAACACCTCTTTTCATTTTGGTAATGATAATAGTAATGGTTTATGGGTTAGGCTGAGGCCTTTATGCACTGCGACCAGTTTGATCTATTGTGCACCCCATTGCATTTAGGCATTTAGTATCTCGAGGAATCAAAATAGCTCCTTTGGAGGGAGTTTTTGAAGATCTTCATTCTCGTAAAATTTTGTGCCTTCTATGGCCTAGTACGTCACAGTTGGTGATCAAATATTTTATATTCTCTTCCTTATTACAGCAGAATCTGCAAATATTTGTGTCGGATATACGTACTTTGTATAGGTGTTTATTGCAGGCGGCAGCGGCCTATTTGGGCATCAGAGAGTGACTTTAGACTCTACTTGTTTAGGTTGTGAACGATGTTTACTCTTTTGGCATCAAAACTCAAGAATTTTTTGAAATGAGTGGACATACCTATCTTTCCATCTTATGTATGGTATGTTTTATGTGACAGAATATCACTTAAGGATTTAAGACTTTTTTTCATATTTTTTGTGATTGTCCAACATTGCTTTGACACTAAGATGGAAGTTTTTCTTCATTTTTTCTGTGTAAAATAAGGAATCTTTTGCCTAAAAGATGTAATGGCCTTCAGGTGAAAGGCAGAATAAAAACGTTCGATGAAAGTTACAAAAATATATGTAACTCATTGGTAATTCTGTTCTCGCCCTGTCAATATTGCTAATTAGTTTAAGATACAATTTCAAAAAAAAAAAATGTAATTCTGTTATTAACAAATTATTATTAAGACTAATTTTATTAAAAATTCTTAACTGCTTGATAATTCGTTATTTATTTCACATATTGCTGATATTATTTATCAGCAATAAAATAATATTACTGATACGATAAAATTTTAAATATTTGAAATTATATTAAAAGTTAAATAAATACAATAAAAAAAATTCAGAGATTGATATTTCAATAAAAAAAATTTTTTTAAAAATCTGAAACAGTATTTTAAATAGATTGTAATTTGGTATGTAAAACAAAAGTAATAAAGTATTATTATTTAATGTTTATTTATAGTTACTTTGAAATTTTATACAAAACACGTTTTTGTCACTTAATTTCACATTTGATTTTTATTTACTTTTTTAGTTATTTTTGCATAAATCAATTTATTTACTTGTTGTCTCCGCACAAATTAGCATGCTAGCCGCGTGGATAGATGGATAGATAGATAGTCGCATAGAAAAGGGTCAATAAACGATTTGACAAATAATTCAAGCTGTTTGCCTATACAACAAAGGTGCCATACTAATTATTTGGCTATGTAAAAAAGCCGGTGCGGATACTGGCATGGGATTTTGAGTACTTGTTTCTGTCTTTATTTAAAATAATTGAATTCGTAATACAAAACTTGAAATTTTATTTCAATTTCTTTCCTCATGCGGACGAGGTACATTGCATTGGTGAAAACATGGTCAGTTATAGAAAACCGCATACTTCAATGTGAAAATTGTAATTGTTAAACTTTCTTTTAAACAATAAACTTCATTGAATTATTGGCTAACGCTAGCTTTTAAAGACAAAATTAATTTCTTTAACTTGGTGTATAGTACAGCGTAGTACGCTGTACTAAGGAAATATCAATACGATCGAAAGTTTTTGACAGAAGATTATTTATTAATATTTTTAATAGTTGACCTATTGGTTATAATATATAAATTTGATTAATAAATAAAATGAATATTTTGAAAGGGATTTGACCTGCCAAGAAAAATGAGTGCCGTTCATTTTACAAAAATTGAGACAGAAGAATCCATTCAAATAATTTTGATATGACATATTTGGTTCAAAATTATTTAACAAATAAATTAAATGTTTGTCTTGATTGTTAGTTTAGTTTAATTGCAAGATATCGGAATAAAATAATGATGTCTTTTGACTACATTATTTAATATCATCTCTCTTAAAGTATTTATGAAGACATGCATAATACATACATCATATTACAGTGATGAATGGAAGTCATTATCTTCGAAATATATAACTTATCAGTACACAAATAAAAGTAATATGATAGTCACGTGTGAAAAATATTCTTCACTTGGTTTTTTAATTTAAACCTGCAAATAAGCATTTAGCAAAAAATTGTGATTTGAAACTACAATATACAATAGTCCATTATCACAATACCTCGATTGTCAAACTGATTTTACTCTAACGCGTACAGATGTGGTGACTATCACACAAAATTAAGAATAACACAATTACAGTATTACGTATTCAAGCGACAACATATCTGTGTTTAATTGCTATATGATAAATGTTACTTTCAATAGAAGTACAATAGACCTTACTTATTCTAATATCAATGAATGTAGCAGTTTTTAATTATGAATTACAATAATCAGAATAAATTGAATAGCACAATGCGAACCATATGAAATGTAGTCTAGCATTATAAGGAATGTTTAGGATATTCTACAAGAGCTTGACTATAACATAAGTCAACTAAACCTAATAAGATTATTCAAACACTATGTTATTGCAACATAAGGAGTTTAAAAATATTATTTATTATTTTTATTATTATTACTATCTGTAAAAAAACATTCAGTATTACTTGTGGATATATATATATATATATATATGATACTTTATCAAAACTATATAATAAAATTATGTTTAAGAATTTATTAAAAAACAATCATAATTAATGTGCCAGACAGTATACTAGATTTTGCAGTATATTTTGAATGGAAGTGATAGCGCTCAAACCTATTGTTGATATACTATTGGAAAGAGATATATTATTGAGAGATTGGTATCATTGATAACGAATCAGCAATCAAAGTTTTATCATCTTTACTATGTCATATATCAAATAAAAAGTCATTATATTATGTGTAGCATCTCTATAACATCTCATGTGTAGCAGATGAATCGATATTTAATGCTGTAGCAATGTACTTTGTCAGTTATTTTATAGGTACTTAAGTGTTTAACACCTGTACATTTGTGCTATAAGAATTTTTACTATAAACTATTCAATTCGTATAAACTAATTGAAAAACGAAACTATTTGCGCAATGCTTTCTAAAGGAATTTAGTAACCGTTAAGTCCAACAACCAATTATGTTGTCTAATGGGTTGTTCATTGACTAAATGGCAACCCAGTGACTTGTTTTTCTAATTGCTGATTTTTACTGGTTTTTCGAAGAGGAAAAGTTATTTTTTATTCACCTGTTGTACAGAGACCCAGCTCTAGCTCTAGTTTGAAGCAGAGCGACAATTGTTAGGTATTTCTTATTTTGAAAACCTTGAAGAGCTGTCAGAAAATAGTAACGAAAGCGTTACGAAACGAAAGCGGTTAATCAAAAAAAAAAACACGTAATTAAAACGAATTCATAGACAGTGGAGCATAATATACAGATCAAACGTAATCAAACTGAATATTTTTTAATTCTATATTTGCTAAAATTAAATACGAAATGAATTTATACAAGCACTTAAGGCACGTGCAATAAGGATGGTTATAAATACTAATAAAAGGGATGGTTATAGATACTATATAATAAAAGGGATGGTTCAAGACCTTAAGCAAATCAATTATTAGCGAATATAAAAAAAATTACTAATGTTCTACAGGTATGTCTAAAATAGCTGAGATGCTTATGGATTCTTTATTGATACATATAAATATAATACAGTTGTTAAAAAAAATATATTTTAAAATATATATAAAAAAATATATATAAAAAAATATATATATTTTTATATAATATATATATAAAATATATGAATATTTATACAAAATATATATAAAAAAATATATGTATGAAATATATATAAAATATATATATAAAATATACATAAAAATATAAATTTTATATGAAATATATATAAAAAGAGATTATGAGAAAAATTTCTATTAGTCTATTTTACACGATATTTAACTTTTCTCTCATAGATTTAGTGTAGTAAGAAATCTAGTAAGTAGTAAGGAAGTGCATTTAGTAAGGAAGGAATTTATATTATGAAAACCGTGTGTAAAAGGAACGTGCTTCAAAATATTTTGGTTGTGATATATGACAAGATATGATTGTTATCTCTAGTTCAATATAGAAGGTAATGAAATATGCATCTTTGCTAGCTAGTTTTCTTAATGAAATTGATTATATGTGCTTTAGAGAATCATATTTGTAAGCAACTTAATTTTTATTTTACTTTATAAAGAGATGGTTAAAGTTTTAATATATATACATATATTCCAATTTGAGGTTTTTTCACTCTTGAGTATTATTTATTACAAGTACACTTACCTTCGGCACAGCTCTGCGCTTTTCACCCACGAATGTTTGATATTAAAGTATTTATAACAATTTAAGCCACGAAGTTCCCAGCCTGAAACAGAAACAAAAAAAATTAAAAGTTAATTAAAATTAAAAGCGTTACAAAACTATAAACCTAAATTTGAAAAAAGATTTAATGTGCGAAAACTCTTTTAAGTTAAACCGAAAAATTTTCAAGGCCAAGATGTATGATTTCCGGAGTTAGGGCACGAGTAATGAATGAAAAACTCACATTGCAGTTAGAAGATTTTAGTCGTTTACCATGAAATATAAAAAACTCTAAGTATGGTTTTTACTTTTAATATGGGTCAAAATGAGTAATAATGTTTAAGTCTAAGTTGTTGTTATTTTACGATGTTTTTAGAGAACAATGCAGTTTCTTCGCACGACCAATATATCTGGAGCTTATGTGAAAAAAGTTCATTTTTGTTGTGAACTTAATTTCGAAATTATTAATAAAATAATAAAAATCTGTAGGCAAAAGTTTTGCAATATCTGTACTATGTTGTGCTTTTGATATATTAAATCAAATTGCATTCATGTAGGTTGGTTAATTAATAAAAAAAAATTTTTTTTTTAACTTTATAAACCAACAAAAATTTTTTTAATTCAAGTAGAATTAAAAGAAAATTACACCTACTTAAAAATTAAATGATAAGATCTTAGATTAAATCTTATCAATACAAAAATTTCTCTATGCCAATATTGAAAAATAAAAAAAAACACATCAAAAGATTTCAATAAAAATGCTAAATAAAAAAATAATCAATTGTTTGTGCATTAAATGCATTTTCATTATGTTTGAATTTTAAAAAAAAATTTCACTTTAAACACTTTCTCAATCAGAGGCGCGTTTACAGCCAAACAATGCAACAAACTTACTAACAATTCAACAATTTACAGGCCATTGCATTTACACACTAATAAATACAACTCTGAATTTTAATGCATTTACGCACGCGCTTTGGAACAAAGTTAAGAGTAATTTTCCTGAAAATTTTGAAATACTTTTTCTTCAATGCGTTTAAGTTTAAGTTTAAACTTTAACTTAATTAAATCTGAATAGACTATTAATTAGTTTTCTTTATAATTTAATTTTCACTATACTTATACGACGAGCTAAGATTTAAAGCAAATGAATACTGAGTTGTGTATTATGTAAAATATTTAATCAAATATGTAATCGAAACTTTTACAAAATTAAATTAAATCTGTTTGTTAAGGTGCGCCGACACTGAGCTTCGAAATTGGCAGGGCACGAGCACGGTTGCCACTTGAAAATTTTTATCTATACCAAAATTAGTTCAAAAAGGTAACATTTCTATAAAAAAAAGGTTCAATTTTTTTCTATTGTGTTAATAAGAAAATACAATATATATAAAATGTACAGAAGATGTGGAAGAGTACAAGTCTTTTTATCCATAACAATTTTAATATTTAAATAATCGGACTATCTTTTGCTGACCATACATAATGCATATCTTTTTAGGAAATAGTTCTACATTACATTATATAAGGTCTTAAGCTCCATTCCGATCTAAATTTTCTTTTACTTTTTGTAGCTCCAATATTTTTAGTAAATCAATACATAAAATTATATTAGTTTCATAGTGCATAGTTACATCTATAAATAAATTGAATTGGTTAATATAATAATGACATATATATAATAAAGTTTGTGCTTTAAAAAAGTACCATTTTCTAAAAACGAGTACCAGAGTACCATACGGAAAGAAAAGCACCAATTTTGGTACTAAAGTACCACATGTAGCAAACGTGAGTGCGAATTCGATTCCTGGTACTTGCAGTTTCATAAAATTATTTTCGAATAATTAAATACATGAATAATGGATATTTGGTAATACTCGAAACAGTTGTATGATTAGAGAAATTTCAATTAATTAAAATAATATAAAATGGATTTTTGTATATAAACAATATATAATATATATAAATATGTATGTATACAATATATAAACATCTATGTTTGGTTGTATTATTATGTCTTTTTATTATAATATTAGTAGCTAAATTTTTCAACCTTTCCTAGCACCGCAACTAGTCATAAGTGACTAGTTACGACTACCAATGAACTATCTATATTTAATAACTTGACGTGTACAAATCAGTATATTTAAATAATTATTAATCAAATAGCTTAAAAGGTTTTGCCCATTGAAAACTTTTTTTTCTGGAACACTTACATTAATCTGCTTTTTTGTTAATGTAAACAAATGCTTATGACGTGTTAGGTTATATATGGTATATTACGGGTACATTGTAATACTTAAGACGGTAAAATAATGTAGGATATTTATAATTTTAGCATTAAACACTTTTGTAGAAACATAATTGTCTAAGAAATTTCACATTCTATGCAATTTAAAAGAGGGAACTCCTAACTAAAGAACATGTCTACCAAAACATGTTAATTACTGGTTTTATAAACCACTACCTTAGATATGTCATTTCTTGATAAATTTCTTGATAAAAGTCACTCAAATTATTTGTACCAACTTTCGGCAAATAATTGTTGTAACTTATTTGATTTAAAGAAAGTTCCATTTAAGTTCCAAATAATAAATAATTGCGAGCCGGTAAGAGAAATGCTTTTACAATTAAACCAAAAAAACAAAAAAAAAACGAAGCGCGTATGAAATAATTTTGAGCCCAATATTTTAGATTAAAAGTACCGTAGTTTTTCAGGTTTTGTGTATTTATCACATTTTTTTTCTTTCACATCATATTTCATATTTGGCTATACTTATTTTATTTACTCTATTTAAAAATAAAAAATTCTTTTTGCATCATCAGTGCGATAAGTGCTAATTATCAAATATTCGCGAAATGAAACCAATACGCTACTTTCATTGTATTCTGATTTAGAGGGAACCGTTTTTTAACAGTAAAATTGTTTAATATTATTTACACTATAAATATTTTTGAATTTATTTTTTCTGTTATACAGCTAGAAAAAAATTTTCACATGTATATATATGTAAGTACACATATTGAAGTACTAAACATTAATTTATTTTTATTATTATTAACTTTTTTTATTTCCATTACTTAGTATATCAAATTAAAATCAAAATGGGGCAAAAAACGGTTTAAAAATTTTTATATTAATTACTATAACATTATTTGATTGCTTTAATTGATATATGTACATAATTAAAAAATGTCAGTTTATGTCTCCATTCAGTATTGCTTTGAAATTATCTATTTCTAATTTCGTTCAAATTCGCAATGATCTAAACATTTATTACTACATACCATTATTTAATTTTTATACAATAATTTCATATATTTAAAAGTAAATTGCGAGATAATTAAATGAATTGTTGCACTCCATTATTGTGCAGAATCTTAGAGATTATATCTATTTATTAAATTTTTGTTTCTATTACGGATATTATCAATTAGTACTGCTTACTCACCATGGAGTTAATACTATGTTTATAGTTTTATTTTTCAGGTATGAAAATATAATTCAAAAGAAAATTAAATATTTTCAAAACACTAATTAATTTTTAATTAAACAGTTTTCGGTTTAAATTTAAATAAATTGCGATAACTTATTGTTAAGTTTAAATTTAAAATTTATATTTGTATTTAAGTTTGTTTATACGTATCTCGAATTAAACTTATTTAATATTTGTATAGATCTATTTGGTAAGTAAATTACTTTTTTAAAACAAAACTAAATTAAACTTCTTAAATATGATATTGATATGATATATATTAAATATATCAACATGACCATACTGACTATTTTAGTTAATAGAAACTGCTATATTTATAGAAAGGTTTCGAAAAGTAGTGAACTACAACAAAAAAATTATTTTTATTTTAATTAATTGAATTTTAATTAATTGAATTTTTGGCTGAACATACAGCTTTTTCAAGTATTGCCAAATATCTATCATCAGTGGTCTTGGAATTATTCCTTATATTTAATTATTCGTAAATAGTTAAAGTACCAAGTACTAAACTCGTGCCCTGCCAAATATGAAGCTCAGATTTAGAGTTCATTAGCCAACTGACCCAATAATGCCTCTACAAAAGAATAGTATTGAAATTTAACAATTAAAATAAAAATATAAATAATTTATTTAATTATTTTACAGCTAGTTTATGATTTCTTTCTAATATAACACAGTAAGTGAATTGTTAATGAACTTTTATAGCAAATTAAGAAAAAACTCCAAGTTCGAATATACAAGTCAGGTAAAGCTTTGAGAAATAATTTCAAGATCACATGATAGGTCAGCTAAAAATTCAATTAATTAAAATAATATAAAAAGAATTTTTATTTTTGTACTTTACTACTTTTCGAAATCTCTATATTCATATATATGTAAATAAAAATCTATTTATGTATATAAACTTATACAAATAGGTTTCTAAGCCGCTCAATCGATATACATAATATTTATACTATTAATTTTTACTTAAAGGAGCGGAATATAGGTTAAAACATATTTTTTTAAATTGTCAAAAAATCGCAATTTATTTTCTAGGTTGGTACATCAAATACAATCTAAAAGTTCTATTAGGAGATATATTGAAAAAAGTTTTTAGTTCAAAGCTCTCATATAAAGTGACGTCAAGTAGAAGATGAGTTTCTTAATTACAAATCAATCGCGAGGTTTATGCACATCAATAAAGTTTTAAATTATTCAATTAAATATTTTGTACATAAATTAATAGTTTTAGTTTAGGGACTGCCTTATATAGTGAAGCATTTTATTTATACAAAAATAAGACAAATTTCTTAAAATAAACAACTTTGGTTTTTAATACATTTAAATTTTATATCATGCCAAATAAAATGTTAAACAGTATTGTACAAAATTTTAATCTATTCACCAAAAATGTTTATATAAATCATTAGATTGGAAAGACTTATATATTAATAGTTGATTACAGTTAAATATTTCCGGCATAAAAATTTTAATTAATAACGCCTACTTTTCTTTACAAGTCAATGAAGACAAATGGTTCAGAGTCTACATGTGTGGGTGTTGGAAAGATAATTTCTTATTCGTA